CACAGCAGTATGTCCTTTTTGGATTTTCATTTATGTTTTCACCAAAATTAAAAGTGATCTGTCCTTTGCTGTTCAGCATAGCTTTGCTCTGGCCCAGTGAGTGGGACATTATAAGCAAGCAGTTCATTGTGGACCGAGCCATTTCTATTCGCTTATGTCAAGAGTCTACATCCTCTGGGACTGCGCCACAGTACATTACAGTGCCTGGTAACACTTTCAACAACACACGCACTAATCTTCAAATGTTTTTTTTTTCTTTATTAATATTTGGTTGGCTTTTATAGATCTCTGTTGGGAATGTCGAGAAGGATTTATTTTCCAACAGCAGAGGGATCTGAGAGAATACGCTCAAGCAACCATCTATATCCGCAAAGTGATAGATGATAAGGTGGTAAGATATGTTTCATGTTGGCTGTGAATGGTAGCCTGGCCTTAGCCGTTTGTAAACTCCGGTCAATTATCATTTCCCTGGATTTACGTTTGGGTCTAGTTCCTGTGTCTGCAATTACATCGGTGGATTTCTATCTGACCAATCAGAGGGCGCGGGAGGCGGGTGTTGAAGTTAGATGTGGGTGACGTCAAGAGTTTGCGCAAAATTAGCAGGTCATAGTTTGGCGAAGAATGCGATAGTAAAGTATTCCGATCTGGATCTATCAATAAACTGAAACTGGAGCAAGAGGAATGTTTAGCAGAGATTGTGGCGCTACTCCCCACTGGCTCTGTTGGCGGCAAAGGAGATGGCTAAAGCTAGGCTAAATGCGAAATGCTAGCTACTCAATCGGTCAACTCAGATCTGTTTCAATCTGTGAAAGGAGTTAACCCCTCCCACCTGTTTACAGAGTCAATGGAGCAAATCCAGACCTTAGTAGGAAATGACATTTGCACTATGGTGTGACCAGGCTAAGTGAATGGTGTTTATGTCGTGAAAAGAATCTGATGAAATGTATGTTTGCTTTAAATGTACTTTCTGTGTGTGAATCATTAGACAATTTATATAGTTTTCCTTTTACAGTCAATGTGCTGTACAGTAGCAATGAATGTGATTTTTTATTATTATTATTTTTTTCCGTAAACTTGAAGGACGCCACTCCAGAACCAAATGCCAGCAGTTCAGATCCAGAAGAGGACAAGGAGGAGGCTCCAAAGACAGATGAAGAAATGGATCCACAGTTCCCCCAGGTAACAAACACAGGTAACAAACGCCCAAATGTATTCATCGCCAAAACCGTGCGTTACTTTATATATCAACAATTACAGAACGGGAGCAAGCGAATCAAGCTGGAGGAAAACGTCTCCACCAGCGCTGTCCAAACTATGGCCGCTGTGACAAAAGCAAGTACTATCAGAAGAAGCACACGTCACAGAAAACTCAGAGGAGAGAAGGCACTGATTGTGTCCGCAAACCAAACCCTCAAAGAACTCAAAATCCAGGTGAAGTTGGACAATAAATAATGTTGGTATTGCACTTGACATAAACAATAAAAGTTGCTTATTTATTTATTTAACACTTGCAGATTATGCATGCCTTTTCTGTGGCTCCCTTTGATCAGAACCTCTCTATTAACGGTAAATGTCTCACGGATGATCTGGCCACGCTCGGCAGTCTGGGAGTCGTCCCCGAAAGTGTCATTTGTCTAAAGGTACTTTTTTTGATTTGGACAGGCCCCCAAAATACTGGAAATTGCTTTACTTTACTCTATTTTCTGCCGTTCGTGTTTCAGGCTGATGAACCAATCGCTGATTATTCTGCAATGGATGATGTCTTTCAAGGTAAGTCTCCATTTTCTGTGTATTTTTTTTAGCACAAATGTTTTTTTTAAAATAAATCAACAATCCAACCATTAACAGAGAAGAATATATACTTTATTGATCTCACTATGGATAAATTCGGTTCAATGAATAGTCAGATACACATACACGCATCAAGGCATGCAGCTCCTTATGGGCAAGGTGGGTTAAGTGTCTTGCCCATGGACACAACGACAGCAGACTGCAGTGGGAGTCGGTGGAGAAGGTCAAATAAGTAGTTCCCAGTAAGTGTGACTGAGGCTAAAAACTAATAGAACAGATTTTAGAGCGAGTGACAGGGATTCTACTGCATTAGAAACCACCAAACATGTTTTGTGTTATTAAGTAGAGTTTAAAATAGGATGGTTACACTGGGGGGACGCCTGACATTGTTTTTTTAACAGTGCAAAATTTCTGATAGTACTGTGGCCTACACCAATTACATTATGATTGGCTGCAGACTTATCTAGAAATGTGAGTGACCTGAGCAGAGACCGTTAGAACATGTGTGAGTATTATGCCTGCCGTACAGTTTGGTGCAGTGCATGTTTAGACCAGGTTTTCAGCAGTTTGTAACGTCCTGTGGCTCCAGTCCTGCTCAGCCCAAAACCATGTTAGCTATCGACGTCTGAAGAAGATGACAAAGTCTGGGATCGCGTCTTTCATTCAGACAGAAGACATGTTATATTGTCAATGGTAGAGACAGCACGAACACAGATACAACAGAATGCAAGTGTATTATACAGAGCGGAGGCATGGAGACCTCCAATCAGCAGCTGCCACAGTGCCATGTAGCTTGGCCTTCAGATAGACACATCAAATGGAAAAGTACAGGCTTCTGCACATTGATAGAACGATGAGTTTAACTTTATTTAAGAGTAGGCTCAAGACGCACCTTTTTAGAGCATCTTTTGATTAGTATTTATTATCTATTATTGCTTTTTAGTACATCTATTTATGTTTTTAGACGGATTATATTTTTATTATTTACTATTTTTAATTCTTTATTGTATCTACCCATTTACTATTGTTATTATCAATATTAGGCAGCTGCCATTTTTCTTTTTCTTTTCACATTTTATTGTTCTACTTTCTATTGTTTTATTGTATTGTTTTAGTGTCCCCAGTGTTTCCTCTGGAGGAGCCCTCTGCACTGAGAGCTGGGGTCTGCTGTGGCTTCGGGGGTCTGGCTCTTGGATCCGGTGGGGGTCTGGGGCCTCCTCGCTCCTCTGGGTCCTATGGGGTCTGAGTCCTGGGCCTGGTGGGGTCTGGGGCCCCTCTCTCCTCTGGGTCCTGTGTCGTTGCCTGTGGCTGCAGCCGGCTCTCTGCTCCTGGTGCAGATGGCTCCTTGGATGACGCTTCTTCAGCCGGTTACATCTGCTCCCAGCCCCATTTCTTTTTATTGTTTTACCTATTTTACCTGATATGACTTTATACTTGTGTATATGTGTGTGTGTGTGTGTGTGTGTGTGTGTGTGTGTGTGTGTGTGTATACGCGTGTGGTTGTATATATAATTATAAATGTGGTTTTGGGGGGTCTGTGGGGAGGAGGGTTTAGGGCTGGGCATGTTGGATTGTTTTTAACTAAACTGTAAAGCACTTTGTGTTACACTTTTTGTATGAAAAGCGCTTTATAAATAAAATTTGATTGATTGAACAAAAGTTGCTTAAAAGTGTTACGAAATTTCTACACGTCCACTCCTAATACTTTGTTTTGTTAAAGTACTTTGTTTTGCTTACAGTGAGAATGCCTGAGGAGGGATTCAAAGGTACGTGCACCATGACTCAGCGCCTCTTTGTGTTCAGAGTTTGTTTTAATGCTTCATTTATTGTTTACCTCTGCAGGCACTGGGCTTCTTGGACATTAAAAGACAATGCAACTTGTGTCTGCTGACTAGAGGCCACCAGAGCTTCATGCTTGAATAATCAAAGTGTGTTTATATAATAAATATTCTTTATTTTCCCTTTGGATAGCTTTCATTGTATTAAAACTGTGACGGTTTCAGCTCAACTGTTATGTCTCCTTGTGAAATCTGATTTGTAAAAATATTAACATTTTTAATGGTTATGTCATTTGTGTCTAAATGACGGAATTGTTTTTGTGCTTGACAAATAGAAACTAAACAATAGAACAGTTTTCAGCAGTTTTATTATTTCAATGTTGCCTAATGTAACTTCAAAAGGCACATATAAAGGCTGAAGAGAAAAGTCATTGGGCCCAAACTAAAAACGTTAATTTAAATGATGTGGCTTGTTCCAAATGCTTTTATGATATGTACAATGTCCTGTGTTTTTTACAAATAGATAATAAAATTATTTTTACAGAATTGTCTTGTACTTAGCTATTAAAGCCTTAGAGATGTCATTATAAGTCTGAATCTAATACATACAATTCATGATAGTGACAGGCATAAGACAAAATGAATACTTTGTAATGTAAGCTTTAGCTGTCCATGGTCCTACCGTGTATGTATATATGCAGTCTATGGTATGTATGTATAGTTGACTGACAGCTGACGTCATCCACAGTGATTTGAACATAAACTAGCTGGAGCCAATGTCCTTTTATGAAATGCACTTATCCTAATATCGTTTCTAAAGCCAGCTGGATTGAAGATGTCAAATTGGTGAGTTCTTACATGGCTCATATCTGCATTTACAAATACAATGTCAAACACCAGGATCACAGACAGACTTTGTAAAGCCTTAAATGGTGAGTGTGACACGAACGGTTTCGGAGCCAGTAACATAGAACTAATATATACAGTCTATGCATAGAACCATGGCTAGAAGAAGAGCTTTATTCATGAAAGTCAAAACGAGCCAGAGCGTGAGAAATAGACCATTAAAATACTGTCTGTGGTTTATATTATAGATCCATGTCTATGTTCAGCATTGTGCAGTAGAGCTCCTGCGCCGTGCTAGTTTATACACATGTTTTTATCATAGATCCATGATCCGTGTATCTGGAGATGATGGAGTCTAAATACATCGTGTGTAGGAATCTCTTCAGTTAAAGAGTCTCTTCCGTTAAAGAGTCTTCCCTTAAACTTGTCTGTTTCTAAAGAGTCTCTTCTGTTAAAGAGTCTCTTCTGATAAAGAGTCTCTTTCTAAAGAGTCTCTTCCTAAGTTTCTTCCGTTAAAGAGTCTCTTCCTAAAGAGTCTCTTCCGTTGCTCTGACGCCATTTTCAAACGTCTTTATTGCTTTATTAATGCGGCGCACAGCAGATTGTCTCCGTGGTTTAAATAAAGAGACACATTTTGAATCATTCAAGGTAATCTCCTCTGAGTTTGTCTAACTACGAATACCTTTACGAGCCCTTTTCTCTCAATGCGTAGGATATTAACAATGTTAGTTATCGGTAGGCTAGCTAGCTGGTTAGCTAGTTAGCTAGTTTATCATTACAGTCTGTTCTGAGAGTGTTTTATTCAAAACTCACCTGAGAAGTTTGCAGCAGTATGTTTACACTGAGATGTACCTGACCTAAACCATGGTCATCTGTCTCACAGGTACATAAGATATAAGAAGATAAAACAATAATATTATCACATTTGGACAACGGCCAGACTTTAATGACCACTAAAGTTTAGACCATTCGTTTATGATCTGATGATGCAGAGGTCCGTAGTTTGTTGACACAGACATACTGTGGTTTATTATTACAGGAGGATGCTGGAGTTGCCCAACTACAGCCGTCAGCTGATGCAGCAGCTCTGGGCCTTGAGGAATGGAGAGCACTTCTGTGACTGCACTGTTCTTGTTGGGGACAGTCCACATCGTGCCCACAAACTGGTGCTGGCAGCTTCCAGCATGCTTTTCAGGTATGAATTACAGATCAGACTGACAATAACAACAATGTCAAGTAAATAATACATGATTGAAACCATTGACAGGTCTCTCCTGGCCAGCTCAGACACGATTTCTATTGACACTACTGTTGTCTCCTCTGAGGAGTTCAGCTGTCTGCTGGACATGGTCTACACAGGCAAGTTGCCCCTGGGTAAACACAATGTTACCCGCATTGTTGCTGCTGCAGACAACCTACAGATGTTTGATGTGGCTATTGGCTTTAAAAAAGTACTGAGTTCTATTGTGAACCCAAAGCCCTCACATTCTGAAAGCACTTCTCAACGTTTAACTGAAGACAACATTAATAAGGACAGTAGTGACATTTCTATTGCACAAAACGAAGATGTGCCAACGCAAAAAGAGGTGACAAAGTCAGCCAGTAAACAGATGTCATCCGTAAAAAAGAAGAAAGAAGAGGAGCAGGAGCACTGGGGTCAGTTCTGCAAACACACATGTATTTCCCACTCAACAAAGTCTATTGTATGTTCTTTACATAGACTGTGGTCCCTTCATTTACGCGCCTGACACGCAGAAACACACTATTTTAAACTAATTATTGCGGAAATTTATTTTGAAAGATGAATTTAATTTACTCCTCTTACTGTTACTAATTTAGTCTTGTATCTACAACATGTTGAATTGTCTTGGTGAAATCTAGTCTGTCTACTACTGGCACATCTACTGTAATAAAATATCTGAAGAAGATCTGTTTTACAAAAGGGTGTACTAATTATAATTTTTGGTTTTACATTTTTTGGGGGCAGAGCCTGAAGAACCATTGAAGAACACACAGGAGGAGGCAGCCTCAGAACAAGATTGTGACACAGTTTTTAAAGATTTGGGACAATTCTCTGTACTTAGTGAACTACTGAACCAGATGCCCAGAATCAGAGAGCTGCTCAGCCAGATGGCAGAGAGCAGCCTGGACCAACAGGACAGGAAGGTTAGTATCTGAGTTATGCACCAGACAGGTTGTGTTGGTCATGTGACAGGAGTCACATGACCAACACATTCAGTGAATCATGTGTCATTTGGAGTCACTTCTGTCTGAACTTGAACTCGCTCACAGAGAGACACATGACCCATCTTTGACCTTTGTTAGGTAAAGAATAATAAATATATATAAGGTTATATATATAATATATATATATATAACCTTTGATAGTAATGCAGCTCTCCTGTCTGAGGGAATGACAGTCCCTTTCATTATTATTATTATGATTATGATTTATGAAGAAATATTGCATTAAAGCTTGCAGTGTTCATCAGCTGTGTGCCAATAGTAATCAGAGAATTAACAATTTATGAAACTCAAAGTTAGCTGAATCTAAGATTTAAATTCTCTCTGAAAACCGTGTTGTGGATTTGTGAATACATGTATACTATATGATAGAGGTTTATTTTATTGGAAATTACATCCCTTTTGTTCCTTTTCTTGGACCCTTAGAAAAATAAACAAAACTAACTCAGCATGTGTTTTCAGGATGATGCTGGAGGTTCAAATGAATCATTCATGTGTTGTCAAAAGAAACTTAACATTAAGATCTGCTCTTGAACCAGTCTGATCATTTGTATTTGATATTTCCTCTCAGGTTGTGCTTACGTGTTGTGAAAGGGCAGAGCCTGATAAAGTGGTGGAGATGCTCCTGTCACATGTAAGAAAAGGAGTTCTTAGTGAGACAGCGTTGGTCCGTCTGCTCTGGGCTCTTCATCAAAACTCTCCTGCAACAACCACTCAACTGCAGAGCTTCCTCCAGGAGCTACGGACGGAGCCCACAGGCACCGGCCGACTCCAAGGCAAGAGGCCATTCACATTGTTCAATGTCTTTCTGATTTAGCCGATAATGTCAGTCATGTTGAAGGACAATATAAGGCTTCAATCACTGTGATAAATAACTGCAGTGAAACTACTTTGTGCTTGTGATGCAGATGCAATAAGGGACAATAATGCTAGTAAAAAATTGTTTCGATTCATCCCTAGAAGAAAGCATTAGAAAGCATGCACTAATACATTTTAGTCTTTCTGACTCTTGTGCACCTAAAACTTCATTGTTTTTCTCAACTTTTGCAAATGAAATGTAGACGATAATATTGAGGCACAAACCGTGTTGTTTTAGCGATCAGTCATTATTATTATTCTTATTTAACTCCAAAAAGCAGAGGGTCCCAGGGCAAAGGGCAGTGAGGCTGAGGACACAAAGGAGGACGACAACAACAACAACAACACAACTGAAGACTGCACTGAGGAAGGAGCCGAAGAGCAGCCGTCATCCCCGTCTTCCTCCACCTCTTCCAGCAGTAAGAAGTTCACCTGCCACACCTGTAAAAGAACATTTGACTACAAGTGCAGACTAAAAGCACACGTGAAGTGCTGCTCCAAATCCAAGAAGAGGCCCTGGCATCAGTGCCCTCAGTGCCCGGAGACACTGCCCTCAAACCAGGCTCTCATGCGGCACCAGATCCGAGTCCACAACTTTCCCGTCAAGACCAAAGTGGAATGTGAGCTTTGTGGGCGCACCTTTGCCCACCCTTCAGGTACGTCACGATCCAACCGTCCGCACGGCCTCTTCTCTCACCCTGCCCCAGCTTTCACTTCTCTTATGTCACAGGACTGATTTATCACATGAGGAGCGAGCATTTTGAAGAGAAGCCATTTTCCTGTGAAGAATGTGGTGCCAAGTTTGCCGCCAACTCGTCTCTGAAGAACCACATGCGGCTGCACACGGGGGAGAAGCCCTACAGCTGCACAGAGTGTGACCAGAGCTTCACTGCGGCGGCGGGCCTGGCCTACCACGTCAAGAAGAAGCACGCACAGGGTAACTCCACACGCAACACACTATGGACTCTGTTTTCAGAGCTGTGAGCATGCTAGTAATTATTATCGGTCTTTTTTTGTTTTTTTTTTTTATTTATTTATGTAGTTACTAGGGGCGGGACTTTAATGCGTTAATTGAGATGAATTAATTACACAAAAATTAGCGCGTTAAAAAAATTGACGTATATATTTTTTTCCACTGCAAAATGTTTCTCACTGGAGGAGTTTCTGTGTGTAGCCATCTTTCTGTAAATACTTGAAGGCTGGCGTCGCGGTTCTCCCGCTGGTAGCCTTGGCTGGTAGAGCGTCAGTGCCGCTAGCTCGTCAGTCTTATTGGAGAGGAACATTACCGGTGATCACGGCAGGCACCGCGGGTCTGGATCTCTTTTGCCCTTGTACCTTCCGTCCCATGTGGCAGCCTCTGGGTGTTCCCCCGTACAATCTCCACCAGAATAGTTTGTCCCCGGGAGGGACCTCCGCTCTCCGCAGCGCCAGCAGATGGTTCCGGGTGTAAACAATGGGAGCGCACCGGCTCATCTCCGTTCACAGGTATAATCCAAACTTTATGATCAGGACAACGGTGGAAAAACATGGCGTGTCTCATTTCCTAAGTGGGCACTAGCTTCATCCAGCTGTATTATAACAGCAGGTATTGAAGAAATAAAAATAAGTACGCTAAAAAGTACGAAAAGTGGGAAGGAAGAGGAGAAGCGATGCAACCTGCAGCTGGCTCCTGCCGCGCATGCCTCATGTGTGTTACTTCTCACTGGTCTCAGGTCAAATATTTATATGCGATTTAATTATTAACAAATGCACATCACAACGATCTGTAAACACACATTTATAAATACTTCACAATCCCTGTCTTTCCCACTCCACGCCCAAAAATGTGTTGGTACTGGCCGAACCCTTTTAAAATACATTTTAAAAAAGTGTATATATACATATTGTAAACTTACATTAACAATATAAAAACCGCACATACACACACACACACACATATTTATATACATACATAAAGACACACACATAATGACACACACATACACACACATAAAGATACACACATACACATGCATATAAAGACACACATATACACATACATAAAGACACACACATACATAAAGACATACACATACATAAAGACACACACATACACATACATAAAGACACACACATACACATACATAATGACACACACATACACACACATAAAGATATACACATACATATAAAGACACACATATACACATACATAAAGACACACACATACACATACATAATGACACACACATACACACACATAAAGATATACACATACATATAAAGACACACATATACACATACATAAAGACACACACATACACATACATAAAGACACACACATACACATACATAAAGACACACACATACACATACACATAATGACACACACATACACATACAAAAAGACACACACATACACACACACATAATGACACACACATACACACACACATAAAGACACACACATACACATACATAAAGACACACACATACACATACATAAAGACACACACATACACATACAAAAAGACACACACATACACACACACATAATGACACACACATACACATACATAAAGACACACACATACACATACAAAAAGACACACACATAATGACACACACATACACATACATAAAGACATACACATACATAAAGACACACACATACACACACACATAATGACATACACATACATAAAGACACACACATACACATACATAAAGACACACACATACACATACATATAAAGACACACACATAATGACACACACATGCGCATACACATAATGACACACACACACACACACATATTTATATACACTTAAAATACACGCACACAATACATCACTCCTCCACGTGCCCAACATTCATTCACTCGCACGGGGCCCAAACGAGGCCGAAGAGGCATCATCACAGTTCCTAATGATTTGTGTGTGATTTTTAGGGAAGATGTACGTTTGTCAGTACTGTAAATCTGAATTTGCTCAGTCCATCGAGCTCACCCGCCACGTGAGGACGCACACCGGAGACAGGCCGTACGTGTGTCGGGAATGTGGCAAAGGCTTCACTCAGGCCAAGGGGCTTTCGGACCATCTGCAGTTAGCTCACAGTAAGACCCGAGCACCAGCAGCTCACAGCCGGCGGATCCACGTTTAAAACCGGCAACTGTTTTTTGTTTGTTTTTCTAATTCAGGGGAGCTACGCGACTGTCAGAAGTGCTGCCTGAGCTTCCCGTCGCTCCCGGAGTATCAGCGGCACGTTCACGAAGCCCACCCCGGCGACTTTCACCAGTGTCCCGAGTGTGGGAGAGTGTTTGCCTCGCTGAGTCTGTTGAACAAGCACAAAGCCACACATGCCGGGAGCAAACTGTTCACCTGCGATCTGTGCAACAAGTCCTACCAGGTACGCCCCCCCCCCCCCCCCCCCCACTTTTCAACCTCATCCGTTCACTTCAAATGGAGCAGGGAATGGGCCGGGAATCCACGTAAGAAGGATCAGAATCAATTTATTGCCGTTTGCAGAAAAAGCGACATTGGAATACGAACAGGAGACGCCGGGGACAGACACACAAACAACACAACACAAGAAAATGATAAAAAATAGCGAGACAAGACTCAGTGAGGCACAAATAAAACTCTTCAAAGCATGATTAAGAAACTACGAAGGAGCTACAAACATCTCATTTTAAACATCTCATTTCACAGACTGATTTATAACAAAAATAGTGTTTTAATCATCGCATGGAGGAGGTGCAGTAAGATAAGACATTGTTTATTCGCCCCACAGTGGGGAGAAAAAAAAAAAAAAAGCGTGTTATTCGACCCGGATAAACACACTTCCTGTTTTCAGATTTCCCCACTGTGGGAAGGATTCAGGTTAGCTTAGCAGTAGCATTCAACAGCACAGAGTCTGTGCCCCCCGCCCTCCACCAAACCCAACCCCCAGCAACATGAATGACGTTTCTTGTCATAAATCAGTCTGTGACGAAGCCTCAGCTTGAAAAGTGAAAGATTCCACTTCATTAGGCTCAAGTCTGTTCAGGTCTGAGAGTGATTTGTCGCCATACTAGACAAACGCTAGCTTCCCCTAACAAACTAGCAATTAGCAAAACATTTCCTCTTCTATTTATCTCTTCTTTGCCACAACAGTGCAAGTGGCAAACGTGGAATTGGCACTTTGAGGGTTTTCTGTTTAGCCATTGTAGGTGTTTTTGTTACTTAAAGACCTTATGACGGGTTTTTAAAAAAAAAATAGTGGATATCAAAATTGCATGACAATGTTGATTTGAAAGATTCCAGCAAAAACAATCCTATATTTTATAAAAAGAACGTGTTTTTCATGAATTTAAGCTGTCTATGCTCTAACCTGTGTGTGACGTCACAGCGGGTTACGCCCATGCATTGACTGAGGTGGGATTTGAACCCCAGTATCTAGATTGGAAGTCCATCAACACAACCACTGGACTATCTCAGTGCCAACGAAATGATACAATCTAGTATTTATGTCAGACTCGCTGTACACGGCCTTGTCATCTTGAATATCCGCGAAAAAAGAACGAATACCAAATTGTAAACAACTTACAGCGTTGAAACGTACCCACTCTGACGTCACCAAGGGCTGTGAAGTTTTTTCGTCTCTAAGGGCGTTGCTATGGAGTTATTTCCATTTGGGGGGATCAGACAAAAAAAACAACAACTGATTTTGAAACCTTTAGTAGTTCTCTTCTAATATAAAATGGTATTAAAACTGTATTTCTAAATAAATCAAACCCGTCATAAGGTCTTTAAACAGCTCAGACAGGTGCACACTGACAAAAAGCAGAAGGGGGGTTGGTTTTGTTCTGTCGGTCTTCTCCAAAATATTCATGATATAATATAATTATAACACCTGAATTTCTCCTACGGGGATCAATAAAGTATCTATCTATCTCTCTATCTCTATCAGGCTGCAGGCATTTAGTTGTGTCCGTTCCTATTTGAAAACACATGATAACTACTACTTTTGGGGTTCATGGCGATTACTCACAGTATTTTAAACATAGCGTCTGGATGAATCACTGCCTCTTTTAACATATTGCATGAATTATGTCTTTGCTGCACTAACAATACTCAACCATATGGGGGCGCCATTGTGGGTCAGTGGCTGGATTTATTCATGTCAAAATGTGGTCAGTCTGATGAGGACTATTGACTATTGACTCTGAAGGTCTGAGTGGATTTTAGGTCCCATGATTTTGTGAAAGCGTTTTGTGAGTACCGTCTTCTGTGTCGTGTGAAAAAGTGAATCAAAGTGAATCAAAGTGAATCAAAGTGCATCAAAGTGCATCAAAGTGAATCAAAGTGAATCAAAGTGCATATGTGTTTATAATGTCAGTTTTAGGGCGGTGACATGATTCAGATTCAGATTCATTTTATTCGCCATTTGCAGTAACACTACATTGGAATACATTAGTAAAAGTTCCCAGTGTGCACAGGACAAGTACAGACACAAAACAACATTAAAAGACAAGAATAAAACACATTTTAAAAACAGTAAAGAAATGTCACTGTGAAGTTGACCAACTTAAAACAGATCTGTACAAGTGCAAAAACATTAAAGTGCTCTGTTCAAACTGATAACAGCTCGTGGAAAAAAACTTAGCATAACGAGATGTCCTGCATCTCAGAGAAGAGTATCTTCTGCCAGAGGGAAGAAGCTGGAACAAGGCTTTTCCTGGGTGGCCAGAAGAGTCATTGATAATTCAGTATAGTAACCAAACCTTATGGAATGCATCCGGGATGGATAGTGTCGCTTACAGTTGTACAATCATCTGCTTTTTACAGCAGCTCTCCGGCCTGTGGTACCACAACCGCACCACACACTCCGACGTGTTCAGCAACCACTCTCGACAGCTCAAAGCCCTGATGCAGTGTGACCTCTGCTTCAAGTTCTTCCCGAGCAGCGAAAGCCTGGCTCAGCACCAGGCCATAGATCACCAAGGTACACGGCATCTTCCATCAAGTGTTGACCGCAGTTTATTACTATATACAGGATCAAGAAAGAGTTTTTCAATATAGTTTTCTATCACTTAAAGTAGCAATATGTAAGATTTTCATGTCAAGTCATCATTAAAGGGCCCTAATCTGTCACTTCTTTAACTGATAACAGTAGGTCAGGGATATTTGAATTAAAAAATTAGTTTCACAGCTCCTAAATCTTGTTATTGTTTTCATTTTGATGTCCCGCTCTCCACCGTTTCACCAATCAGAAAGTCTGTGATCCGGGCGCCAGAACTCACCGCGTGGAGCTAATCTCACTGGTAAAGTACCATGTGGAGCTAATCTCACTGGTAAAGTACCATGTGGAGCTAATCTCACTGGTAAAGTACCATGTGGCGCAGAACTAAAAAAGGTCTCGTTATGATGCTCAAATCATTAACGACAAAACAAGGAATAAAACCAGGATTTCTATCTTTGTGAAAAAGGTGTTGGTTATAGATTTGTTGTTGACAAAACTCTTGTCTATTCAGCTGTTATGGTCCCAGCTGGATTCGTCTGCATATCTGGCAACCTGAGTCAGGGAGAGTGGGAGAGGCTGCAGTACCACTTTTGGCCACATTTTTACACACTGCTCTTTTTACAATACATGCCAGTTTTTTTAGCACTGATAAACTGCCCATTCTTACCCCACAACTCCCAAAATGAATTCTAATCCTTGATTGACTCCTCATTAGTTAAACACCTCTAGAAAAGTCAAACTGTTGCTGGTAATCTCCAGGGTCAGGACCGTTGTGAATATATTTCTCTTGAGACGTGTTGCATGGTTTGTATCGTGTCAAACAGTAAACCACATGCATTCTATTGAAAATCAGATACAATTAAAGACAAACTTTAACAAATCAAATGTTTGTGTCTGATGGTGCAGGCTCCGCGGGCTCCTCAGGCTCCGCCCTCAGGTGCTCCTTCTGCCTAGCGCTGTTTTCGGGACCGGACTGGCTGCAGGAGCACATCCAGACTCACCATGTCTCTGAGCTGCAGGATCACAGGCTCCGAGAGCATCAAGCCCCGATGGTACAGCCTCACACCTTATGCTGCGTTCTGTAACTTTTCTAACGGCTTTTCGCTCGTTGCCGCGGACAACAGGAAGTCAGAATAGTGTTAAAAGTGCCCATTATCTAAAGACTTGTTTTACTGTTATAAAAGGTTTCCTACATTGGTCTGCTCTCCTTCCACTCGGGAATGTCCAAACTGCAAACTTTTAAAACACAGAAATAGAAAGTGGAGTTGAAACGTTTGTGTTTTTGTATAATATCTATAGATTAGTCTTGTACAAAGTTATTAATCTAAACTGGTTCAGGGTTGTATTAAACCATTATATTCATATTCGATCAACAACTATTCCTTCAAATGCAAATATATTTTATCTTGAGTAAAGCCGCTAAAGACTACACTAATAGATTCGTCCCCAGAAGTTTTATCATAAAATTTGACATATTTAAATCATATTTTGTTTAACCCCTGAGCTAACCTCAGCTTCATATGACCCCCCAGTGATAAAAAGAAGAAACAAGACCCCAAATTAGATAAATAAAAGAAGAAAAAAAGATAAATAAAATAAGATAATAAAAATAAGATAAAAATAAAAGAAAAAAAAGATAAATAAAAGAAGAAACAAGACCCCAAATTAGGGTCTAGATAATAATGACTCAAAATAATCAAAATGTAGGAAAAAGAGAACTTAGTCCGTCAACACAGAAGCTAACAATTGATTTTATTGAACATTTACTTCATATGTTCAATATGGATAAGTGGATAGCACTCTCGCCTCTCAGCAAGAAGGTCCTGGGTTCGAATCCCAGTCGGACCAGGGCTTTTCTGAGTGGAGTTTGCATGTTCTCCTCCTGTCTGCGTAGGTTTCCTCCGGGTACTCCGGTTTCCCCCTACCGGCACGGTGGCTGAGTGGATAGCACTCTCGCCTCTCAGCAAGAAGGTCCTGGGTTCGAATCCCGGTCGGACCAGGGCCTTTCTGAGTGGAGTTTGCATGTTCTCCCTGTGTCTGCGTAGGTTTCCTCCGGGTACTCCGGTTTCCCCTACCACTAAAAATATGTCCAATAGTTCTGGCATGCGCCTCCTGTACTGGCCCCGCTCCCATCTCTGTGTGGAGTGAGAGACAAATGCCCATAATTAACAATTGTAAACCGCTTTGAGACTCAGATCTGCAGTGAAAAGGCGGTATATAAATAAAGATTACTTACTACTTACTTACTAAAAACATGCACAATAGGTCTGACATGTGCCTCCTGTTCTGGCCCCGCTCCTGTCTCTGTGTGGAGTGAAAGACAAGTGCCCAAAATGAATAACAATTGTAAACCGCTTTGAGACTCTGGTCTGTGAAAGGCGCTATATAAATAAAGATGACTTACTTACTTCATGTTTTGCTGCATGAGTGGACCGGGGAGAGCCCTCTTTTTAATGTGCTTATAACTTGGACATAAGTCGGTGTGTTCTTAATTATGTTCATGCAAATACTTGACTGACTCTGGAATAAGCTGCCCCCTGAACCATCACTGATCCAGGCTCAAGACACATTTATTCAGACTGGCTTTTAACATTCAGTAGCACGGCAACACTTTTTCAAAATCTTACTGTTCTATTTTTATTTTTGTTTGAATGAATGTTTTTAATGCATTTTATGTGATTTTATTGTAAAGCACTTTGGTCGCCTTGAGTGTTGTAAAGGGCTCTATAAATAAAATGTGAGTGATTGATTGAACACCACAAGAAAAACTCCTATGTCCAATTCACACTTATACTCAAGATAGAGATGTTATACTTCTTTCTTTGATGCTAGAGTTTCAGATTTAGTTTAATTTGAGAGTTATTGTTCACTGATCGTGTGCTCCTCTTTCCTACTGTTCTATAAGTTGAGACGCAACAGGATCTCTTCATCTTCATCTCATTGTGAAAGTCTTTGAACCTGGCGTCAGAACTGTCCTTTGTTTACTGTCGATTCACCCGTGGTCCATTTGACTTTGTTTCGGAACCAGCGAAACACGTTTTACTCACACACTAGTAAGAGCCCATTGCACTGTGTCAGAAGAACTCACAGCAGCAGATGTGACCGGTCACTTTGGGTGTTTCAGATCTTTTCCAGGAAACATTCAAGTAGTAAAAATATAACTCATACAGTATATAGTTAAAGATTTAGATGAAGAGATCCTGTATAAATGCCACAGTGGGGAAATGTCAGTGTTGCATCACAAGTTTTAGAACAGAAGGATGAGGAGCACAAGATAAGTGAACAATAGTTAAACTGATTCAGCATCTGTACATGTTAGCATCTGTACATGTTAGCAGCAGTATGTTAGCATCTGTACATGTTAGCAGCAGTATGTTAGCATCTGTACATGTTGCTAGTTTTGTCCTGTAACCGTGTGTGTGTCCATGCAGGAGGTGGTGGCTGAGGCAGACGCTCTCCCGGAGGCTGCAGACACTCTCCCGGAGGCTGCAGACACTCTCCCGGAGGCTGCAGACACTCTCCCGGAGGCTGCAGACACTCTCCCGGAGGCGGCGCCCAGCGCAGCAGACCTGGTGCTGAGTCAAAGCCAGTCACACCTGGAGAACGCGCAGCAGGTGTTTGTGGCGCTGGCAGACGGACAGGAAGGCGCCCAAGTGGTGGAAGTGAGTATGTTTGACCTGCTCAACAACTCCGTCACCTTCGTCTGTGAAGAGGGTGGAGCAGGCAGCAGCTCCTAAACCTGATGGGCCACTCACTACAGGAGCAATACAATCAAATCGCTTCAAGAAAACAGAATATTAAAACAAGGAATGAAAGGCTAACAGTCAAAATGGAACATTGTGGTGCATTGTAATATTGCAAAGTATTAGTCGCAATAAAAACATTTTCTCTCCTGCGATAACCGACTGGATGCGAGTTGTGTCTGTGTTCATTTTATTTAAAAAAACGAATAAATATATTTTAAACAGTACAATTGTTTCACACTGTTCTTGATTCAAACCAAAACACATTACAACCCAAATATAATGTAACCTTTAGCCAGAACCAGTCTCAGGTGGTCACCTTCTTGTGGGGCAGATGCTGCTGAATGATCTGGTTCGTGACCACCAGGGCGGGCAGGAGGGGCAGCAGGAGCACAGCCCACCAGGCCACTCCCTTCACCGAGGCCTGAAACCAGTCTGAGAACATGGCGGACACGATGGTGACCGTGGACAGGAAGGAGGTGACCAACACGCAGGTCGTGTGGTACAGTTTGAGTTTGGCAACATGTGACGACAGCTGCAGCAGTTTGGGGAAGAGAACACACAACCCGCAGGACGCCTGAAGAGCAGTGACCGCCAACGTGCACAGTCCCAAGACACTGTGCCATGAGACCAGGTGAGGCTGCTCGGAGCGTTCTTTGCTGGCCACCATGAAGCACAGGCCGACGATGGTGCCGAGGATCCCCAGGGCCTGACACCAGCAGAGCAGGTCGTTACGGACGTGAGGTTTACAGCCGCAGAAGGACCCCTCGGCGAAGAAGAGCAGGCCTGCGCTCATACACAGCCAGTACTGCAGACACAACATACACGTCAGCCTTTGTGATGTGTGTTTCTATGGCAACTGTTAATTCAATTCAAAAAACTTTATGAACAAACACAGAAACACACAATCTAAGTATTAATACAGTAAAAGAGCAGAAATGCAATATAAAATACATAAAACAGGTGTTTAAAAGGCGAATTGAGGTGGGGAGGAAGCTGGATGTGGCCCTTTTTGTTTTGAATGGGAGGGACCTGAACCTCCATTGTTCTGCAACTTTTCACACAATACACCTCATTATACGCTGCTGCCACTTCAAACACAAACAAGTTTGTCAATTCATATTTATATATAGTTTAAAAGAGCGAGACACTTGACCTTTTGTCAGTTAATATCCCACTGCACTAGACAAACAGGACAAAGTGAATGTGTTCGACTCAACGGTTCCTTTCTTACTAAAATGTACTGTTTTGTAAAGCCTTATACACACATGAGGTAGTTTCATTTATCTGCTTGGAACTTAACCCTAACATGAATTATTCACGGTGGAAAGGAAAGAGCGTGGCCATAGTCTGATTAGTACAGACTGTGATACTGAAGGACGTATGAGGTATTATTGAGATTATATTAATACAAAACACTTTATAAATCAGGTGAATGTTATCGTAGCATAACTGTAAATATATCACTGACTGAGCTAAACTCTACTAATCATTTAAGTTCATTTAGATTCATAAATAGGGGGTGGGAGTTTAAAAGCCTTAACTTCTTCCTGCTCTTTTTCAGTCTGGATTTTTGTTAAAAAAACAAAACATTCTGTATATTTGTATATGATCATGTATTGCTGCTTTTTCTATTTTCTTGTTTTTTGATCTCGTTTGCCATGGCTCAAAATAAAGTATATATAGAGGCTTGCTGCATAAACACTTGGGGCCGATAATAACAGATCCTCTGAAGAATTTTATCTTTTAACTTTGTAACTGTGTGTTTTGAATGGTTTTTAATTAGCTGTGTGATTTTAATATTTTTAACTCATTGACTGCCAGCCGTTTTTGATGATTTAACTGATTCTCAAGACCCATAGATTATTATTTTCTAAGACTTTGTGAAATGTGAAACCAGATTCTGAAAAACTGGATTGTCTACTTTGATCAGAAAAAAGAAGTTTGTCTTTAGCTATTTGTATTGTCCTGTAATCCCCGGTCGAATAGAGGGTCTCAGACAAACACGTCAATGGCAGCCAATAAATTAGCTGTGTGATTTTAATATTTTTAATTATGTGTGATTTTAATGTTTTATATTTTTAATTAGCTGTGTGTTTTTTCATGGTGATTTGTGCCTTATGTGGTGTGGACTGTGAGGCGTTTTGTGTTGCCCTGAGCAGGAAAAGCGCTCTATAAATAAAGATTGATTGATACTATCCAATACTGCTCAGAGGTACTCACGGCCACAGACATGCAGACCGGATGCCATGAAAACAAACCTGCAAAGACAGACTGGTTCACTGCTTGTTCTGTAAATGCAAAGTTTGACAGATTGCATTGGGCAAACACTCACTGGTTCCTGGTCTGGAGAGCACACAGATGGTCAGAGTCAGGGACAGCGCAGAGACCAGAGCAGTCACCACGGCAACGCGGCGCATCCACACGTACATCCGGGACTCCTGCATCCCCAGCCCCTCTCCCACCGGACTGTACCCCCCATAGACCCCCGCGTCTCCAGGCATCCTGCTGGTCCTGCCCATGGACTGTGCCCTGGTAGTCTCAGTCTGGTCCTCGATGGTCTGCTGTTGTTGTGATCAAGTTACCAGCCTCGAGTTGAAACGCACTTTGCCATTTCCACCTTAAATCTAAATTATATGTGAGGAATTATGATTGTAAAATAGATACGATTGGACTGGGGCCCGTGGATCGAGAAACATTACTTTAACTGAAATGAGAAAGATCGGAGTTTCCTGTTTGGACACGTGACAAAGTAGCCACGCCCATAAAGTGAAAAACTTGGAACCGTCAAATCTTGCACTTAGCCATTTCCAGCTTAAATCAAAATTATTTGTGAGGAATTATAATTTTGAAAGAAATACAATTGGACTGTAGCCCGTGGATCGAGAAAAAAAAAAAAATCATGCTTTTACTCAAATGAGAAAGATTAGTTTCCTGTTTGGACACGTGACAGAATAGCCACGCCCATAAAGTGAAAAACTTGAAACTGTCAAATCGTAATCTTTCATCCCATTTATATTTAAAGTCTATGGTAATCTTACATAAAAAAAAAAAACAATACTAAATGCAACTTTTTTCCGGAGATGATTGTAAAAATAATTCATCTTTAATTATATAGCGCCTTTAACAGACCAGTCACATTTGTCGTTCACACAGAGATGGGAGCGGGGCCAGAACAGGAGGCACATGCCAGACCTATTGGACATGTTCATAGTGGAAGGGGAAACTGGAGCACCAGGAGATAACCTACACAGACACGGGGAGAACATGTGTCAAATGTAACTTTTCTCCAGGGACGTTTGATCATTGCATATATTCATAACAAACATCAACGCTGATCTTAACCAAATATAGGTTTTTTAAAACTTTACCTGAAAGAATGTGATTAATAGTGAAATACATTAATAATTCTGCTTCCTGGTACGAAATGCCAAGATTCACATTCAAATTAATTTAATACATTTTTTTTTAGGTAGCACTTTTCAGGATAAACTTTTACTGTAGACATACTGAGAGAAATAAGGCAACCAGTCTGTACCATCGGCCCCTCCCACCAACCACTCACAAGACTCATTCTAATGTGGGAGAAGTGTCTTGCCTAAGGACGCAACTACAGTTGGCACTTCACAGCCGCAGCCGCCCCACTGTGGCACCTGCTGTTCCCAGAGGTCTCCCATCACAGCATTAACCAAGCCCTGCCCTGCACAGCTTCAGAAGGACATTTCTCCAGGGACGTTTGATCGTTGCATTTATTCATAACAAATAATAAACACAACACTAATATTAACCACATTAAGTGTTTTTAAACTATACCTGATAGAATGTGATTAAAGGAGAAATAAATAAACTAAAATATTAATGACGTCCTGGTACGAAATGCCAAGATGTTAGTGAAAATACCACCGGCTCATTCCAATGAATTTAAAAACCACAAATTTAGTCATAAACATCAAGTTTATTTTAGCAGCATAAATTATATTGAGGTATTTCAATCTTTCCAGACCAGCTTCCAATGGTTGACATTCACTTTTAGACATTCTTGTCCAAATACTGCACTGACCCGCGTTAACAAAAACACCCAAAAGTCTTTACAGATACTGTCCATAACCCGCGGCTGAGCTCCCGTCGTGGAGGCGTGTCTGGAGGCGTGTCTGGAGGCGTGTCTGGAGGCGTGTCTGGAGGCGTGTCTGGAGGCGTGTCTGGAGGCGTGTCTGGAGGCGTGTCTGGAGGCGTGTCTGGAGGCATGTCTGGAGGAGTGTCTGGAGGCATGTCTGGAGGAGTGTCTGGAGGCGTGTCTGGAGGCACAATTAATGGTGCAATTTTGGCTGAAAAACAAAACACAAAAAGCTTATTAAAATGTGGCCTCGACTCTCACATGTTTAGTTGTTTTGAGCACCACCTGCTGTTACAGATCGGTACTACGCTTAATACAAAACTATGACAGCACTGACAACATTTCTAAATGTTTTTAAATGAGTCCAAACATACTATTGCCACTAAACAGGTGATGAAGGACTAAGTATTTTTTGTTCAATGGTTTTTTCAAATTAAAGATATAAAAAATTAAATATCAATTTTTTTCATTTTGATGAGGAAAAGGAAAAACTAAAAGTTGGCTTGATATTTGATGTTTCGATTCGATGCAGAAAATTAAAAGACTTAATATTGAACAATGGTTAATGTAAATATGTCGAGTATTTGGGTTAAAGTGTAGTATGTGCCTCTAAACCACCAGATGTCGCCACTGGCCACAAATTGAAAAAATATAAAATCAGCCTGAACCCATTATTCAATATTTTGTTTTCTCATGTCCTGCATCGAAACGAAACATCAAATATCAAGCCAATTTTAAGTAGTAGTAGTAGTAGTAGTAAGTAATCTTTATTTATATACCGCCTTTAAACTGCAGATCTGAGTCTCAAAGCGGTTTACAATTGTTTATTTTGGGCATTTGTCTCTCACTCCACACAGAGATGGGAGCGGGGCCAGTACAGGAGGCACATGCCAGACCTATTGGACACATTTTTAGTGGTAGGGGAAACCGGAGTACCCGGAGGAAACCTACGCAGACACGGGGAGAACATGCAAACTCCACTCAGAAAGGCCCTGGTCCGACCGGGATTTGAACCCAGGACCTTCTTGCTGAGAGGCGAGAGTGCTAACCACTCAGCCACCGTGCCGATGGCTGAGTGGATATTTCATTCTCGATTTTAATTTGAAAAAACCATTGAACGAAAAATACACGGTCCACTAAGGCAGTTGTATGATTGTACACCATAGCATCAGGTGTGCGTCACATTCGTTACAACACTCACCTTTTGTGGAGCCAGTTTCTTGTCTATGCCCCGTGACATTGCTCCAGTTTTCCCGTCCTTTAAACTGTAGAAGCTGGAGCGAGAGGGAGTGGGGGGGACGGGAGAGGATGGCAGTCTGTGCTGGGGAACGGGGGACTTGGACGACGGGGCCCACTCTTCCGTCGGACCACCTTTGTGTTTTTTCAGAAAGTTGTGATGTTCCAGGCTCCTGGCAGTGGCGTGGCCGTGTGAACCCGAGTCCCCTGGGGCCACGCGTCTTTGAGAGTTGCTGTTTGGAGCGGAACATGGGGCGGGGGAGATTGTACTGGGTTGAGTTCGTCTGTGGCTCCATTGGGGTTCTGTCGGAGAGGGGTGGGACCGGGGTTTAGAGCCGGGGGACTGGGTGCCGTTGGTTTGTCCGTGCGCTGGTCCAGAGGGGGTGGGACTCCCTGAAGAGCCACAAGATGCGGTTTGGGATGAGGGCATGTAGCGGTCCGGCTGAGCGGTGCAGTTCCTGTTGGGGCCAGAGTGGTCCCCGTCCTGACTGGGGGCTTTGCGTTTCCGAAGGGCCGCTGCGTTCACGGCCTCTTGTCGAAGTTTCAGCATCTGTTTAGTGGAACGCCTCATCACGTTCTTGGTCCCCGTAGATTTCCCTGTAGAGTTCAGATCAGTGACGGGTCTGGGGCAGTCCGAGTGAGAGGAGCTCTGTTTGGACGTCCCGTGGCTGGATAAAGGAATGCATGGTGGCATCTTTAACGAGGAGCCGATGTGACTCCCCGTCCGCACTTTGGAATGTAGAGACTGAGACGGAGAAGCTGCGCTGGTCTTTGTTGACGAAGGTGGAGAGTGAATGTCTGTTACTTGAGGTATTTTTCTGATGAACAAAAAAAACAATCTTATACACTTGGTACTGAATATTTGGTGCAGTTATTGCAGAAAAACTGATGAAAAACGTAAATATGATCAAAAGACTAATTGTTTTACTAATTTTAAACTATCTTAATCATCCATCAGTTTCTGGATCAAGGTCTTGTCCCATTAGTTTCATTCTCATCTTTTTAGACAGAACCTTTGCCATGGGTAATTTCACCTCTACAGCCCCCGTTACCTGTGGTGTGCCGCAAGGTTCTATTTTAGGTCCCATTTTATTTTCTCTTCATATGCTCCCCCTAGGACACGTAATGCCCGCCATAACGTGTCCTTCCACTCTATGCGGACGACACAGATATCCTGTACCTCCCGCTGAGACCAAACGACCCTGAAGTCTGGCTGCTGTGGTCGACTGTTTTAATGAGGTGAACAGTTGGATGGCCCATACGCTAGCTCTTCTCCAATCACAGAACAAGGAGCAGCGCCGTTACGAACAGGCCACGCCTCCTCTACCGTGCAGGTAAAGACTTACTTCCACAGGTGAGCGCTGATGTGATGCTCGATCATGGTGCTGAAGGCCGACCTCAAGTGATGCAGTCTTCGGTCAAACGTAAAGGTGCCGTGACCCAAGGCGTGGCTCCCAAAAGAACACATCTACAGAAAGACAGACCCATTTTATAATCATTCCAAAGAAAGTCTAGCAGAAGGGTCTGTTAGAGTCTTGTGAGGTCTAACTTAAGCCAGTGGTGATGATCCAGGACTCTCCACATGGACACTGGTCTCTGCTGCTTATGGACCAATAATAATAATAATAATAATAAGTTTTCTGTTATATTTCTTGTGATCTGTGTTGGTGAATTCAAAAGTTTTGTAAAGTCCTTTGAGATATTTACTGCTGTAATTTAGGGAGATACAAGAATTAGTTGAATTGATACATAAATGGAAATATATGTTTATAAAAAGGTCCTAGTGAATTGCCTCCAAACTTACTGACAAAAGAAATCTCATTTAAATACAACTGATTTTATAAAATTGAGTTTGTATTCAATTGCTATTAATCTTGCGGTCCTAACCCAAGAACAAATGTATTTAAATATGGATCAAATATACATGTATAAGCTAAGAATATTTTTGTCACTCATAACCCTGTGTGATCAAATACAACACCATTTATTCTTGTATAGCCCTAGGTCACAACAGCATCATCTCAGAGACTTAACAAAACCATTGAAATCACCAACACGGGTCAGAGAATCAACAGTTCAGACACAAAAAATACAGAACACATTTGTATTGGTCCATAAGGAGAGAGCAATGTTCATGAATGTTGTAGAATGTTAAAGTGTCCTGGATCAACGCAGTCCTTAGACACCAACCGTCATTTTAGGCCCATTTCATTCCCATGGTCAGTTGTATTAATTTGTAAGAAGCCAATTAGATTTAGACAGATTTAAACAGATATAAATTGGGGTTAACATCAAAGCTCAGTGTGCACGCCGCCATGGACTGAAGTATTTTGATAACGGCAGCATTAGATAGATACTTTATTGATCCGCCGTGGGAGAAATTCATGTGTCCAGCAGCAGAATACGCTTTTGTTGTTGTACAGTCAGGTTTGTTGTACAGTCTGACAGCCGAAAGAACAAAGGATCTCTTGAAACGTCACAGCGCAGTGATAGGAGCCTGTTGCTACGGTTACTCCTCTGAGCGGCCATAGTGTCATGCAGAGGGTGTCTGGAGTTACCCAGCATGCCCTGCATTAGAGCCGCTCCCACAGAGTCCACACTTCTCCCCATCACAGAGACACATTTCCTGATCAGCCTGAGCCGGTTACCGTCTGAGGTCAGACTGCCGCCAACACGCAACCCCGAAGAACACGGCACTAGCTACAACAGACATTCAAGAGCTAGCTACATTACACTCGAGAAACAGGATTTACACCTGAAGTTAAATCATAATTGTAAAACAGTTTAAGAAATGAATATAATCTTGATATCTGCATGGCTGCTTAATCTCTTAGTCATGATTTTATTATTTTTGACTAAAAAGGAGACATTACTTCCTGCGAAATCCCCTTTAACCATGTTACAACACGGTTCTACTGGGAGTCGTTTTTAACTTCTGGCACAATCATGTCGCTCATTTTTTAGTCTAAATACTGGTGATGTAACCAGATTAGTGTAAAAAAAAGCCAGGGCAACAATTGCTGTTTGTAAAAAAGAAAAAACACCAACACAACAACTCCCTCTGGTGTTAGTTTAAGGAATTACATGTGGAGATTAGAAAAAGGGATTAAAATAAATAACATATTTAAATACTCTAAAACCTGAGTTGTCAACATAAATACTGTCAGGTTTAAGGATGTAATGAATGCATAATATTTCAGACTTTAACTTTTCATAAAAATACTTAAATTGAGCAGTTCTCACCGCGAGTGGTCTGGGATGAGCAGCTGAGAAGTGGAACTCTGGAGGCTCTTCGGGCGACTCTCCCTCGCTGTCATCACTGGGCAGCTCTGCCGGGGCCAATGGGGAGGGGGGCCCTGAACACACCTCCTCCTGCATTTCTGCTTCCTCTGCAGGTTTCTCACTAGAAAATGGTTGATGCCTGAAAAGAGAAAGAACAAAGTCTAGTGCATGGGTTCAAAGTCAGATCTGGTCCTTGAATGAATGATGTTGGATGATATTTGATTAGGATTAAAACTGGCCTTCACAGAGCCTTAAGAAAACATTGGGATTATTGGATTATGTTCGGGACAAGTGTTTTCTCTCTGGAAGAAGTTTGTTTTTGTCTGTGGGCCTGTTGAAAAAGAATTCCACTTGAAATGACTGACAGAGCCATACAAACATGTTGGATTATTGATTAAATCAGTAAATAGAATAGGGACACTGTCTTAGTTCAATAGTTTATATACAATCTTAACTCCTTGCCTGCCATTGACGTCTTTTTGTCTGGTGAATTCACTCAAACCTCCCTCTACTTGACTGGGGATTACAGGAGACTGATTTATCAAAGTTTACAGTTAGTCCAGAACTCCGCGGCTTTTAACAGGCACCAAAAAACGTGAGCACATTTCTCCGGTTTTAGCGTCTTTGCACTGGCTTCCTTTTCATTTTAGAATTGATTTTAAGATTTTATTGTTTGTTTTTAAAGCTTTGAACGGACTGGCCCCTCCTTACATCTCGGACCTCATCCAAATTTACCACCCGCCCCGTGCGCTGCGGTCCGAGGGCCAGCTCCAGACCAGACTTAAAACCCAGGGACAAGACTCCCACACGCTCTGGCTTTTTACACCGCGGGAGTTGTGTGCTCCTCCATTTTATTTTATCTATCCATTTTATTGTTTTACGTTTATTATGTATATAGTTAATGGCTTCATTTTAATTGTTCTTTATTTTCATTTAAAGCGATCAGACTTGTATATTTTAATCTGTCACTCTCATCTGTGCAGCACTTTGGAAACGTGTTTTATAAAATGTAAGTAAGTAAGTTTTTATTTATATACCGCCTTTTCACTGCAGATCTGAGTCTCAAAGCGGTTTACAATTGTTAATTTTGGGCATTTGTCTCTCACTCCACACAGAGATGGGATCGGGGCCAGAACAGGAGGCGCATACCAGAACTATTGGACATATTTTTAGTGGTAGGGGAAACCGGAGTACCCGGAGGAAACCTACGCAGACACGGGGAGAACATGCAAACTCCACTCAGAAAGGCCCTGGTCCGACCGGGATTCGAACCCAGGACCTTCTTGCTGAGAGGCGAGAGTGCTATCCACTCAGCCACCGTGCCGCCCATGTGCTATATTTGTGATTGGATTATTTTGATGATGAAAGTTGTCAGTCCAGTCTCTCAGAATCTGGTTTCACATTCTCATAGTAAGCAAAGAGTTAATAAATTGAACCAGTTTGTCCCTCTGCTTGTAGCAAATGTGTTTTATTGTCCTCTGATGTATTTGACTTTGACAGCCCTGGTCTAGTGCAGGATTTCTGCTTAGAGAGGCTTGAGACAAACAAAAGATTAGACTTTTACACACACAGAAGTTCCAGCTTTAACAGGAGTAGAGCTTAGGTCCCACCGCCACAGACCCACCTGAACGCAGGGTGGTTTGCCAGGGGCCTCCTGCAGTGTGGAGACCCAGCTTGGTCTTTAGGGGCCTCTGGGCTGGGTGAACCTTTGGCACAGGATCCTCCTTCAACGCCTTTTTCACGAGCCTTGGTTTTGAGCTCTGACACGAGCTGATCAAAGTTTTTACTGCGGCCCTGCACCTTCCTCCTCTGGTGGATCGAGTGAATCTGTAATGGCACATACAATTACTTAAATCAGGTTTTAAAACATTTTATATGAAAGACAAACCGTGCTCGTGTCCACTTCATTTACTTTTGAATGCACTGGAAATGGCAGCTCCTAAGTGTATCTGAAACATTTGTTATTTTTCTTACTTTTTTCTGCCTGAGATCTTGCTGCAGTTCAGTGTTCATGGTTTTACACTGGTCCAGACCAGAGCAGAGAGGATTCATGGTTTTACACTGGTCCAGACCAGAGCAGAGAGGATTCATGGTTTCACACTGGTCCAGACCAGAGCAGAGAGGATTCATGGTCCAAACCAAGTGGATCAGGTGAAAATCCACTGGAGGAATTCTAACTTTATGAAAAATGCTAATTAAGCATTTTACTTTGGACCAGAGCAGAGAAAATGGTCTGAACCAAGCTCCACCTGCTGCTGAGACCTGAAGGACTGTAGCTTATTATTATTGTTGTTGTTAGATACTTTTAGAATGATCCATTTATTTGTTTTGTTTGGATGGATGTGTTTCTGCTGCTACTGGACACCTGCATGTCTCCAACACGGATCAAAAGTATCTTTCTCTTCCTCTCCTCTCCTCTCCTCTCCTCTCCTCTCCTCTCCTCTCCTCTCCTCTCCTCTCCTCTCCTCCTCCTCTCCTCCTCCTCTCTCCTCCTCTCTCCTCCTCTCCTCCTCCTCTCCTCCTCCTCTCCTCCTCCTCTCTCCTCCTCCTCCTCTCCTCCTCCTCCTCCTCTCTCCTCCTCCTCCTCCTCTCTCCTCCTCCTCTCCTCCTCTCTCCTCCTCTCTCCTCCTCTCTCCTCCTCTCCTCCTCCTCTCCTCCTCCTCTCCCTCCTCCTCTCTCTCCTCCTCTCCTCCTCTCCTCCTCCTCTCCTCCTCTCCTCCTCTCTCCTCCTCTCTCCTCCTCCTCCCTCCTCCTCCTCCTCTCCTCCTCTCCTCCTCTCCTCCTCTCCTCCTCCTCTCTCCTCCTCTCTCTCTCCTCCTCTCTCCTCCTCTTCTCCTCTCCTCCTCCTCCTCCTCTCCTCCTCCTCTCCTCCTCCTCTCCTCCTCCTCTCCTCCTCCCTCTCCTCCTCCTCTCCTCCTCCTCTCCTCCTCCTCTCTCCTCCTCCTCCTCTCTCCTCCTCCTCTCTCCTCCTCTCTCCTCCTCTCTCCTCCTCTCTCCTCCTCTCTCCTCCTCTCTCCTCCTCTCTCCTCCTCTCTCCTCCTCTCCTCCTCTCCTCCTCTCCTCCTCCTCTCTCCTCCTCCTCCTCTCCTCCTCCTCTCCTCCTCTCTCCTCCTCCTCCTCTCCTCCTCCTCCTCCTCCTCTCTCCTCCTCTCCTCCTCTCCTCCTCCTCTCCTCCTCCTCTCCTCCTCCTCTCCTCCTCCTCTCTCCCTCCTCTCTCCTCCTCTCTCCTCCTCTCCTCCTCTCCTCCTCTCTCCTCCTCTCTCCTCCTCTCTCCTCCTCTCTCCTCCTCTCTCCTCCTCCTCCTCCTCCTCATGTCGTCCTCCTCCTCCTCCTCTCCTCCTCCTCTCCTCCTCCTCCTCCTCCCCTCTCTCCTCCTCCTCTCCTCCTCCTCTCCTCTCCTCCTCCTCCTCTCTCCTCCTCTCCTCTCCTCCTCTCTCCTCCTCTCCTCCTCCTCCTCTCTCCTCCTCTCCTCCTCTCTCCTCCTCTCCTCCTCTCTCCTCCTCCTCTCTCCTCCTCTCTCCTCCTCTCCTCCTCCTCTCCTCCTCCTCCTCCTCCTCCTCCTCCTCCTCCTCCTCTCCTCCTCCTCTCTCCTCCTCTCTCCTCCTCTCTCCTCCTCTCTCCTCCTCTCTCCTCCTCTCCTCCTCCCCTCTCTCTCTCTCTCTCCTTCTCTCCTCCTCCTCTCCTCTCCTCTCCTCCTCCTCTCTCCTCCTCTCCTCCTCTCTCCCTCCTCCTCCTCCTCTCTCCTCCTCTCTCCTCCTCCTCTCCTCCTCCTCCTCTCTCCTCCTCTCTCCTCCTCTCTCCCCCTCCCTCCCTCCCCCTCTTTTATGGACCGTGTCGTGGCCTCAGAAAACAGGTTTTGTTGGAGGATGTTTTACATAAATGCACAAGAATAAAGAACACGCTTCAATCCCTCTTTACATTGTAAACCTAGTTTTTATGAAAGAGACAAAGTTGATCCCCACATACGAGCCGTGCTCTTCTGAGATTCAGGCCAACTGTAAAACCGTTCAGAAAGTGTATAAAAAAGGCCACTTGTGAGTGAGTACGGGCAGTTAGAGTTCTGTAGAGTTCCAGGTCTGAGGACTGGGGCCTCACTATTTGACAATGTTTTGAGTCGAAGTTCCTTGTGCCGATTTGGTTTTGTGTATTATGCTCCAACGCCACAATAATGAACCATTGGAGCATGGGTGGGTTGTATTGGGGTGGAATCGAGCGGGATAAATATGGTTAAAGCCGCTATTTCACACAATATGTCAAAATATAGACTTTTTGACGTTCAAAGATATACTTAGAATACTGGTCAAATGTGAGATTTTAAAATACGTACGTTGCATGTAAGAAGGCGAGTGCAAACTTTCTTTCTCTCGGGGTCCAGGACTCCACAGTGTTTGTCCAAGTCACACTCTCTCTCTGGGAAAACACAAAGCAACATTAATATGATGTGATATTTATACAAAAAAGGGTAAATGCATTTTTTTTTAGTAGTAAAAAGAAAACAAATCTGGGGCGACAGTGGCTCAGTTGGTAGAACAGTGGCCTTTGAGCATCTCAACCGACTCCCACTGATATCTGCTGCCGTTGTGTCCTTGGGCAAGACACTTAGCCCCACTTTGCCTGAAGCCCCCGCTGAAAGATCAAGGCTATACCACAGAGCAGCCATCCTGACTTTCCACCTGCAGGAGGATCAGTGAGAGGCTGGTGCTTTGTGAATTGGGTCCAGCTCTGACTGCCACCTCCCTGACCCAGAAATGGATTAAAGAAGCTATACCCGATATATTTTATAACGAGTTCATAAGAATGTGTATTACTACATACAAGTTGAATTATAATTCGTAATTTAATGTAAAACTTGAGCTCATTGATTCAGCTGTTTATGAACTCAGGCGTAAAAAGTGCCGAGTAGAGACTTAGCGTGACGCCCGCTCTCCTCCAATCACAGAACGAGGCTGCGTCCTCTAGCCTCTACAGCGCTGCTAAACACAGTAGCATGTTAGCATAAGTGGCTATAACTCCTCTGGCTGTAACTGCAGACACAGCAAAACAGCCCAAACCACACAACAGTGAGGAAGAGGAACTAAAGCCACAACATGATCAAAGAAGAAACCAAGCCCTGAACAGAGCTAGCTTACATCGTATCCTCTGGAGAGACTGGTCTATGGGAGAGACCTGCGGGACCGCCTCGGACTATCTACTCTCGGACTATCTACGCTCGGACTACCTGCGCTCGGACTATCTACGCTCGGACTGTCTACGCTCGGACTGTCTACGCTCGGACTGTCTACGCTCGGACTATCTACGCTCGGACTATCTACGCTCGGACTACCTGCGCTCGGACTACCTGCGCTCGGACTATCTACGCTCGGACTATCTACGCTCGGACTATCTACGCTCGGACTACCTGCGCTCGGACTATCTACGCTCGGACTGTCTACGCTCGGACTGTCTACGCTCGGACTATCTACGCTCGGACTATCTACGCTCGGACTATCTACGCTCGGACTACCTGCGCTCGGACTACCTGCGCTCGGACTATCTACGCTCGGACTATCTACGCTCGGACTATCTACGCTCGGGTAATGTTAGTTATATATTTTGTTAGCAGTGCGTTGCTTTTGTACAATTTCATCAGTGATTGTTGTACAGCTTACAAGAAGTTGTGCTAAAGCTAATGCTAGCATACGTATCAGATCACAAATAAAACTAGATGGCTCCGTGGGATGAGAGCGTAGAGGAAATGAGAAGCCTGTGAGCGAGTTGGGGGCGGGGCTAAACATCCATCCATTCAGACAAGATGGAAGGTAAATGAATAATACTCACTAGAAGACACTTTATTATAGGCTCTGGGAATGCGGTGTGCTGGTACAGAAGACACTAGAGCGTCCTTCTTTGGTGTGGGGGGCCGGTCGCTGGGCGTTGGCCGAGAGGGCAGACCCCCCCCGTGTGGCCAGGGTGGATCTTTGAGGGACGCAGACGGAGAGCTCATCTGAGGCTCCAGGACCGGAGGGGCTTTAAACACGTTGGGCTCCGAGTAGCTGTTGTGCGACGCCTTCTCCAGAGGCGAGTGTCTGTCATGAGCACAACACAAAGATGACACACAAAGATGACACACACACACACACACAAAGATGACACACACACAAAGATGACACACAGACAAAGATGACACACAGACACACAGACACACACAAAGATGACACACACACACACAAAGATGACACACAGACACACACAAAGATGACACACAAAGATGACACACAGACACACACAAAGATGACACACAATGACACACACACACACACACAAAGATGACACACAAAGATGACACACACACACACAAAGATGACACACACACACACACACAAAGATGACACACAAAGATGACACACACACACAAAGATGACACACACACACAAAGATGACACACAAAGATGACACACACACACACACACACACACACAGTCAGTCAGTCAGTGGTTGTGTGAAGTCATATTGTTAACATATTTCCCCATTTTTTTATTCAAACTTCATGTAAGTGCTCTGGGGAGATCTAAAATGAGCATTTCAGGCAAGACAGCGCAGGAATTTACAAAAACATGAAAAAATTTTGCCGCTAAAAAGGGGAAGCTTTACCATCAGAGCAATAAGAAACTCATTCACAACTAAAACAGAGGACTCCAATCTGTCACAGACGTCAAAGGGCCACAGAGGCTGAGAACAACCAGACTGAATTTTTTTTTATTTATCATTCATAATCTCTGAAATATGGCCAAAAATGTCTGTCTGGGTGTGTAAACTTTCATACTTTTTAACAGTACATTATAATAAATAAATAAAAACAATTTTGGTTTAGTTATTTTAAGTTGTTCCTTTGTGATGCAGGAGGGTCTAAGGACAGTGGTGATGATCCAGGCCCTTTACGGACATTGGTCTCTGCCCCTAATGGACCAATAGCTCTATGCGTTTTTTTGTTGTTTTTTTTTTTTTAAATCATTGCATTTCCTGTTTTTGAACGGTTCTATTCTTTTATTTTAATTTAATCTGTGTTGGCAAATCAGCAACTTTGTGACGTCTTTAGCGATAACTGCTGTTGTGAGTTATGGCTATACAGAAATACATTGAATTTAACTCTTTGATGCAAAGTTTTAAACAATTGTATCTATTTTCTTCCCTAAAAAGTGATGAGATGAGAGCAAATTTACAAGCTAAAAAGGGTTCAAAGTTGTACTGCAACATTTCAACAAACAGATCATACCGTGGTGCATCCTTGGGGCTCTTCGAGTGTCTGTACTGTGGAGGAGTTGCAGGTGAAGGAGTATTGCGTGAAGGAGGAGTATTGCGAGAAGGAGGCCCGGATACTTGGCTTCTACTTTCCCACGTTGACCCAGGGACTGTGGGGGTCGCGTGAGACGGGGAGTGGTTTTGCGACGGTCTCGAAGGCTGGGACCCCGAGGTGACGGTGCGAAGTTTAGCGTATAATTTAGAAAGTGGCCCGTGTCTTCTCTCGCAGTGTTTCTCAAAGGCCTGCGGTTTCACTACCTGTCCACAGTGGCTACAAACCACCAAGTAGAAGTCATCGTGACCGGGAAACAGCCCAAAGGTGGACATGTCTGAAAGGAAAGAAGGATACTGGTTAATTAACTGAGATAAGAAGCATATAATAATGTATATGTGTATGTAGACTTCTGGTTTCCACTGGATTTTGAGTGGCATTGCTCTTACCTTCCTTACAGAGAGGCATGGCTTCGGCTGTCTTTTTGTCATTCTTGAGGTCATCCCCGCAGTGACCTAAAACAGAAAGTAAGTAAGTAAGTAATCTTTTATTTATATACCGCCTTTTCACTGCAGATCTGAGTCTCAAAGCGGTTTACAATTGTACATTTTTTTGGGCATTTGTCTCTCACTCCACACAGAGATGGGAGCGGGGCCAGTACAGGAGGCGCATGCTAGAACTATTGGACATATTTTTTGTGGTAGGGGAAACCGGAGTACCTGGAGGATGGGATTTGAACCCAGGACCTTCTTGCTGAGAGGCGAGAGTGCTATCCACTCAGCCACCGTGCTGAGTGGATAGCACGGTGGCTGAGTGGATAGCACTAAAACAGTAGATCAATATGTTTACAAGTCAAAATGAGATGGAGATTTAAGGGTGTACTATTGTGAGAAACAATATATGAAAGTACAGGATCTGGCTTAGCCCCAGGACAAAAAGTGGATGAGAAGTGTGTACTCATTGGGAGAAGACTTATCGTCTTTGAAGACTAATTTCAAAAGGCACAAAGAAAAACTAAATTTTACAAAAGGGTAGTTTGTCATGTAGGCTTTGAAGATACCTTAAATATTGCCCTCTCACAGAATCACACAGGTACATGTATGTGGATAAAGACAGAATCAGTACATCAGAGGTTATTACTAGAGTATCTAATGACAGGTACCATTGAAGCTACCCTTTAGAAACAATCTTAGCATTAGACTGCTAAAGATGCTAGTACATTCACACAGAACCACCCAGTGATTATGCCAGATTTATATATGCGTGTGTCTTCAATGGAACCATGACATTAGTGCAGGTAGTTCAGAGCTATATCGTCCTAGCTTTTAACAAACAAGTCCATCTGGGCCATCACCATAGATCACCATAGACCATCACAGGCTCCTTCCGCTTTGATGATGCTACAATGTTTCCCAGTCAGTCTGTGTTAGAGATGGCAGTGTGCTTTAGCCAGGGCGTCCTAAAATAACAACACAGCCCAATTGTGTACATCCACTTTGATCTTGTAAATAGCGATGGTAACAAAACCAAATGGCAGATGTGAGCGGGCCAGCACTAGGACCCGGCAGAGTCTTTGTTTGGGTAGCGCGCTTAGCCCAGTGTCTGGTTCCTGTGATAATAAGCGCTGGTGTTTGGAGCCAGAAGCCCGAAAAAGAGCCATAAGATCCCGCAGGAGCTCTCTCACCCTCCGCAGGCGTCACACCGGCCCACTCCACCCAGCTCGACCAGCTTTCACCCACAAAATCATCGAGGCTAGGCACCCTCCGAACCAGAGCAGCCATTACTTTTACTGCGCGTTCACGCACCGCCATCATCACCGCGCGGCAGCGACGTGCGTCATTTATCGCGCTCCCGACAAACCGGGAACTCCCACGTGCGCGTGAGGGTGCGCGCTCTGGGCACGGGAGGAAAACAAATATATTCTATGTGTAAATACCGGAACTGACAATGATCCTAAACATACACACTTATACTTATATATATATATATTATATACATACAATACATAAATATAATATATACAAACTTATACTGGACATTTACAGTGTGACTCTTAGGTGTGATTTTGTTGTCTTTGTTTGTTTTGTATGTTTTTGTTTTATTGTGTTGTGTGTCTTTAGTTTGATTGTGTTGAGTGTATAATTTGGCACCGATTGCTTGATTGTGTACTGCCTTTCGTGTGGAGGGGGTGTCTTGATATAAACTAAAAACTGAAATATACAATACAATACAATTTATTCTCGTAACGCCCTAAATCCCAACAGCATCATCTCAGAGACTTAACAAAACCATTGAAATCACCAACACAGATCAGAGAATCAACAATTAACACACATAAAGAATATAGAACACATGTTGATAAATGTCACATGTTGTAGATTAAAGTGTTCTGGATCATCACAGACCTTCTAGTTGGACACTAACTGCCCAACAGACTCCTGCATCAGAGGAAAAACTCATAAGAAAAACCCAGTGGGAAAAAGTGAGAAACCTCAGGAAAATGGTTTGAGAAAGGGATCCACTCCCACGGACGCACGGGCTCTAGATCCAGGACCTAAGCTACAGAACGTGGACCAGCGGCCGCTGAACGTGGACAGGTCCGGTGCAGGACTAAGACGCTCCCAGGCGGGTCGGGCGGGGCAGTCCGCAGGTGTAGATGGAGGAGGCCAGGCTCAGAGATCCCGTCATCGTACCATGGAACAGACAATGGGACAGCGGGTGAATAGCAATGAACAAACTACAGTCAAAATCCTAATAATGCTAAACAGTTAAAGTAGGATGGAGGAGAGGATAGTGCTTAAGTTACCATACTTCTCCAGCAGGGGGCTCCCTATGCAGCTTGACTGACAGTCTGAGGAGTTTAGCCTTCTCCGAGTCTTACCTTCCTAGCCATATGCTAAACTAAAGAGGACTGTTTTAGCCTGGCCTAGAGAGTAGGGTTGAAGATGCAGCGGACCGGGTCCCACATACGCAGACACCAAGCCCGGACGAAACCTGACCAAATGCTAAGTTGAAGAAGAGTGTTTTAAGCCTGGCCTTAAACGTAGAGACCGTGTCTGCTTAACGTGGGTGGGGAGCTGATTCCACAGTAAAGGAGCTTGGAGCTAAATGCTCTGCCACCGACAGTGCTTTTTGAAACCTTAGGGACCACCAGACGTCTGGCGTTTTGCGCGCACAGAGCTCGACCTGGTTGATAAGACATTAAAATGTCTTGGAGATAAGAAGGAGCCAAGCCATTTATGGCTTTGTTTGTTAAAAGAAGAATTTTAAACTTTATTCTGTACTCCACAGAAGCCAGTGGAGTGATTTTAACACCGGATTTATGGAGAAATATTGGTACAAATGTGGTTCTTTATTGTAGACACACACACACAGACTGTACATGGGTCGAGAACACACACAGGGTCAGGGCCTCTCATGGTTACAGCGTTTATACAAAAAACTGAATATTTAAATACAAACTTGGTTTAATCAGCGGCAGATTTTGATGTAAAATGAGAAATGGAAAAGTGGGTTCCTTTGGTTTTCCCTGAGTCAGATGATCTACACATGTGGTGGTTACACTATTACACAACACAACATCAGACAGATTTAACAGATTTAACAGATTTAAAACACGCACACCATAATCACAACATTTAAATCAAATATTATTATTTTAAAGTAGCAGTATGTACAATTTTCATGTCAAGACATCATTAAAGGGCCCTAATCTGTCATCATTAAAGGGCCCTAATCTGTCATCATTAAAGGGCCCTAATCTGTCATCTTTAAAGGGCCCTAATCTGTCATAATAACAATCTGCTCTTTTCCAATCCTTCTTTAACTGATAACAGTAGTTCAGAGATATTTGAATTTCTAAATTACTTTTCCAGCCTCTAAATCTTGTTATTGTTTTCATTTCGATGTCCCGCCCTCCACCGTTTCACCAATCAGAAAGTCTGTGATCCTGGCGCCAGAACTCACCGTGTGGAGCTAATCTCACTGGTAAAGTACCATGTGGAGCTAATCTCACTGGTAAAGTACCATGTGGCGCAGAACTAAAAAAGGTCTCGTTATGATGCTCAAATCATTAACGACAAAACAAGGAATAAAACCAGGATTTCTATCTTTGTGAAAAAGGTGTTGTTTATAGATTTGTTGTTGACAAAACTCTTGTCTATTCAGCTGTTATGGTCCCAGCTGGATTCGTCTGCATATCTGGCAACCTGAGTCAGGGAGAGTGGGAGAGGCTGCAGTACCACTTTTGGCCACATTTTTACAAACTGCTCCTTTAATGCTGATGGATTAATGTTATAATATATGTGATTGCTCCAAAGATACACAAAGAAAAACAAAATAATAAAAGTTTAAAGCTTCAGGCTGATAACATAGGATAAAAAACAAAAAGAGAATACATCAACAGTTAAAACATGAGCACCTCATCATCAGTCACACAACATGAAAAGTAAAACATATACGTCACGTTCTTTGAGTAAAGCAAATGGAACAGGATGAAAATGTGAAGAGCAGATTTCACTATTGGGAGAAGGAGGCGAGGCCCTCTCCAGTTTCTACAGACGAGTTGGTTGGAGCTGGACCTTTATGGAAAGCAGACTCTTTGTAAATAAACCAGCAATTGCCCGTCCAGAGGATCAAATTCAGGAATCCAAAGATCTGAAAGGACAAAAAAGGACATTTGTAGCAGAATGTAAGTATTAATTTTGTTCTGGCACTTGACTATCCAAAGGTGTAGTGATCACAACATATACAGTCTTTTTGGAAAACCGTTTCCCTTTGTTCCATCTGGGTGTTCACTTCACTGTGACTGCTGAAGCGTTCACAACCTCAGAACATGAACGGGTTTGACAAAACTAATTGCAATTCTTGCGTTTCAAAAGACGTCAGGGCAGTGGCGCGAATAGCAAACGTAGGACAGGACGTGACGTATCCTGGAGGTGCAGTCTGCCGGGTTTATACACGGAGATATAGTAGAAGAAGAAGTGGTTTATACACAAACATATAGTAGAAGAAGAAGTGGTTTATACACGGAGATACAGTAGAAGAAGAAGCGGTGTCAAAATGCCATCTTTTTGTGCGGTGTACGCTTGTAGCCACCGCACAATTAGAGAAAGACAGGAGTTTGTTCATGTTCCAACTGTGGGCTCATATAAAGGAGGACACTTTGAAAAAATCACTGGAATCAAGGCTTTCCCAGATAAGCGCCCCCTGCAGGCCACCCAAATGAAACGCAGCCCTTTCTTCTACTTTTTATTCCAAAAATGCCCAAAATCAAGACTCTTTTCAGAAATATTTGTTAGCACTCTGTTAGAATTAAGTGTCCCTGATTAAGACTGTTCCAACAACCGTACACCGCACAGGAGGAGAGCCTTTGACTCCAAAACAGACTTTACATGGTTTTCAATGGGAGCAACACTGAGTTGTCCCACCTCTGCTCATGCGCCCCCTACTGGCCAGCTTCGTGAAACCCAAGAATATGATGTCATCAAAAAAATCCAGGCAGCAGTACATCCTTTTTTAAGTTATTGCCGGATTATAAGTATCTACCTTTTTATTGTTGTTGTTGGGCTGATGTTAGAGCAGAGTTATTATTATTATTTTGACTTCTAAAAGCTTCAAAAACACAAGTTTAAGAAGCTATAGGGCACATGTTTGTGTCAAAATACATGAACTCATCTCCAAAATATAATTTTTTCACCTCTGCAACAACGCTCGCCTGCTCCCCTCCCTCTCCCAATCCACTGCTGAAATACTGGTTCATGCCTTCATCACCTGACTGGACTAATGCAACTGCCTCCTTTTCGGTCTCCCCCAAAACTACAATACATCCAGAACTCCGCCGCCCGCCTGCTCACCCACACCCGTTCCAGAGACCACATCACCCCTGTCCTCAAACAACTCCACTGGCTTCCTGTTCCACACAGCATACAATACAAGGTCCTCCTCCTTCTCACCTACAAGTCCCTCCATAACCTGGCCCTCTCTGACCTCACCGACCCCCTCCATCATCACTGTCCCTCCCGCCGCCTCAGACCCACAGACTCCAGCCTCCTCACTCCCCTCAGGACTAAACACTGAACCTTGGGGGGGCCGAGCCTTCGCTGCAGCTGCCCCCACTCTCTGGAACTCACTCCCTCAACCAATTAGAAACTCAGACTCACTACAGAACTTTAAATCTCTTCTCCAAACCCACCTCTTTCAGCCTTTCCCTAGTTTTGTTTGTCAATGTTTGTTTATATTTGTAAAGCGTCTTTGAGTGTCCAAAAAGCACTATATAAGTTTGATGTATTATTATTATTTAGTGTATTAAAACCACACTTTCTTTTTCATTTCTTTTCCATTATTACACAATGACCAAGTGCTTAATTTTGCTGAGATGTATTTGTTCAGGTACGTACCACAGAGGCGTTGAGGCGGCCCAGGGATGGTCCGTCACTGCTCTTACAGAGAGGGCATGTCTCCAGCAGGTGCTCCGTGCTGGTGGCAGCTTTAATGTCAGTCAAACCTTTCCCCCACGCTGAGGATGACACTAACCACAAAAAGGCAAAGACTGCTGTCACCAACAAGTCCTGAAACAATAAGAACAAGAGTTAAATGCTGTACAATAAACTACTGTGCAATAATGTTGATTTTACTATCGTGGGTCCGTGGCTCGTCTGGCGGTAGACACTTTGAAAGCCCAAGTACAGGACCAGTGCAGCGGTGCAATAGAGAAAGGCAAACACCCCGACACAAACGAAAAACTCTGCCGAGGACGAGAAATCTCCTTGTAGGTAGAATTCACTCGCTGGAGCTTGGTTACATGACGGGATGACGTAAGAATGAGCTGATAACCTGAACGAGCAGGAGAAGACAGAATACTTTAAGCACTAAAGTAGAGTGGATGAGAAAATGTATACAATATAAAGCAGGGGTCTCCAACCTATAGCTCGGGAGCCACCAGTAGCTCACCACCCCCTTCCAGGTAGCTCGCCAAAGGATTTAGAAATAGACAAATCAAGCACTATACTTAATATTTCAGATTTTATTATTCATTATCATTATTTATTACTTTAAATTCACTCACCTTGTGCACTATCAACAATATATGCAATAATAAATAATGAAGGTATCCAATATCAGACTTGTTCACACCAATATATCACCATCTTTTTCCCAGGGTCGCTTAAAGGAGTAGCTCTCTGCCTTTATCGTCCCAGGAAAGTAGCTCTCGGGGGGAGAAAAAGATTGGAGACACCTGATATAAAGTGTTTAATTTGATCAAAAAGTGCCCCCAACAACAGAAACGTTAAGGGAAAAGATAATAATGATAATAAAATAACAATAATCCATAAATCACAGCAGATTATTCAGTGCTTCTGTGGACTGGGCTATGGGCAAATCCAAATGTTTAGTTCAATAATGTTTCATAAGGATAATTGAGATACACTTGAGATGAACAGAGAAGTATTTAAACTGTTTTGACTTCAGCATATGAACTCACCTGAAGGGGTATCCAAACACAGCTGTTACCTCCTGAGGCTCCACATCTGGACATTCAACCGTCAGGCTGGTGGCCCCACTGTAGCCTCCGGTTGTAGCAAAGGCAAAGATGGCAAATACCTGCAGGAGAACATGTAGTGTGCATTTTATTACAAAAAACTTCTGCATTTGCACAAGGTTAGAGTTCACATTTCCAAAGGGTTATCGTTGTGTTTCCAAGAAGCTCTCACTCAGCAGTTTGTCTGATGCAGGGACAATGGCAGGAAGATGGAACGCACTAGAACCCTTCCTCTTCAAAGTACAGCGTAATGGCTTTTAATGCTATTTCTGCTAAATAAGGATCTTTTAAAAAAACATTAGTGTGTAACTTAGAGGTTAGTGCATAATTCCATAGAACCAAATGTTTAAAACACTCTGAACTCACAGGCAGGGTTCAGGCTGAAACACATTCATTCATTAATTACAACTGAAATAGTAATTCATTGTCAACCAATTTATTGATCAATTAATCGTTTTTGATCCTTACTTAAACATGCTGAGATTAGGTTTTATGACTCCGATAATTCTATAATGACTACAGTAAGAAATGAACCCATGGAGCAGGTCGGGACTATCATGTCATACCTGCCTCATTACTGAGGTACAACCATGGGCTGTAAATATTAAAACACACGATCTGATGTGATTTTAAATCTTTGACACTGAAATTTAAATTCTCAACAATGTAAATAACAACTAATTTTAATAAAAATAACAATTTATTTATATACCGCCTTTCACAGACCAGAGTCAAAGCGGTTTACAGTTTTGGGCATTAGTCTCTCACTCCACACAGAGATGGGAGCGGGGCCAGTACAGGAGGCACAGACCTATTGTACATGTTTTTAGTGGTAGGGGAAACCGGAGTACCTGGAGGAAACCTACACAGACACGGGGAGAACACGCAAACTCCACCCAGAAAGACCCTGTTCCGACCGGGATTCGAACCCAGGACCCTCTTGCTGAGAAGTGAGAGCGCTAACCACTCAGCCACTGCTCCGTGCCGTTATGTTAAAGATGGGACACAGGAGGATATTGAACCGACCTCTGGTGAGTATTAATGAAAGTTTATTTTATCATCATTCTAACATGTTTAAGTACTGATATTTCTGTAACTGTCTATTTGTATAGTAGTGTATTTGGAAGAGTACTAGAAGCTCAGTACTTTAAGTATTCAGAACAGAGTTTATTTCCAAGTGGAACAGTTGCTTGTCATGTTTTTGAGCTCTTTCTTTATTCCCACTGTTCACAACTGTGTCTAATGTCAATGTTCTTCAACCTTTTCTTAACCTGTTGAATGTTTCACTTCTACACACACTCATATGTAATCTATTGGTTTTTTATGTTTTGTTGCAAATTCCCTCTTGTATGAATCCAGCCACAATTAAACTTTGTATAACGCAGAAACTCGTCAGTATCAATACTCAAAAGAAAGCACAACAATAGAATGATGAGATCAGAAGAGGATTTATTATCTTGAGAATTGTCTTGCAGTGCCTAAACTTCTCCTTTAATTATTTTAATGTTTTTATTGTCTTTTGTAATTGTTTTGTATATTTTAGCTCGATCCTATGTTTGTATGATTGCAAGCAAGGAACCAATGCACAATTTCCTTTGGGATCAATAAAGTATCTATCTATGAAACTTATTATAATTCTACATCCTCCTGTGTCCCAAGTTTTTGAGACACATTTCTACTTGACAAAATGTGTATAAGATGATCCTCCTGCTCCACTGCAAAAGTAATCTTTATCAACATCTGGAAATGAAAGTGTTGTACTTTTAAAGCTGAGTTTGTTTTAACACATTTGACCAAAAACAATTCTCTAATGAGGTCACTTGCTTTTTTTGCATTTTGTTATTAGTACAAGATTAAACAATAAAACAGCAACAGGATAAAGGTTCTAGCTTTTGGTTTCAGTGTTCCGTATGAAAAGCTTTACAATTCAATTTGTCCCACAATTACTGACATACTTTCAAACTTGAGAAAACAAAGAGAGAGTGAATTTGTATACCACATTTGTTATTTATTATCTACATATACAGTATATGCCTCCCGTAACTATGACAACACCGAAGAGATTGCGGTGAAGTGTCAATAACAACAATAATAATCAGACTATTGTTGCAATTGTGACACTTTGCATTTTGCCATAACAACTACGAAAAATCTACTTACCCATTCTATAACGCGGATAAATCCAATGGGTTCCTTCAGTGGCCCCAGGTCCAAGTGAAAGCCAGACACCAGTTTCTATGAATAACATTTACAACTAATGGTAAAAAAAAATCTCTCATAACTGCAGAAAGCAAATGAATACGTACAAACACAGACACTACCTACCTGAACAGTGTCCATTTAAAATACTGTTGCAAGCCAATGTGGAAAAGTAAAGTGCTGGCAGTACGGTGGGCTGTGGTGATAAAATGCATCAGAGCAAAATTAGAAAACAACTGCCACTGTCTGTCAGCAGAAGGCGGTGATGCAGCGAGCCAAAGTTAGGAGAGACCAGCTGACCAGAAGCAAGCCTTGTTCTCCGTTGTGTAATCCACAGACTCTCCACACAGGGAAAGGTAAGAATAGAATAGAAGAATAGAATAGATCTTTATTGTCTGTTCAAATTGAGCAGAGATTTGTCTTTCAACACGGCACGATTCATGATCATTCATAAAACACACATAAAATACATTTAAAACACATATACACACATAATATCCAAATCCACCCAACTTTTTTCAACTATTGTGGAAGAGAAATACAGAATGATACAGTTTGAAAATAGAACGAAATTGCCACAAATGTTTATTGTTGAGACTTGGTTCCAAAGCCTAGCACATCTCTGATTATAGATTTACTGATGTTATGAGTAATTGTTTTTTACCGCAGCTGTGTGTGATAATCATAGACTGTAAATATGTGATAATAAAATACATCTGTGAAGTAGGCTCGGCTCGTTTTTTTAATTATTATGAATAAATTATGCTTACAGGCTTACATATCTCCAATATACATTACAATCAGAGCATATAAAGGCAAACTTTAAGTGTAGGACATAATTAAGAACAGAAGTCATCAAGGTACAATGGGATCAAGATTATTATTAAGAGATCCTTCAATCATCCCATAGTGGAGAAATTTCAGTGTTGCATCACCAGTTACAGAAAAGTATAAATGAAGAGCACACAACACAAGATAAATGAACAATAACTCTATAAAATAAAATCTCTAACTTTAGCATCAAAGAAACAAGTATAAAATCTCTAGATATAACATAATAAAGAAATCTCTACATTTGGCAAAATAAGGTAATTTATAAAGTACTTTGTATCCTAGTAGAAGCAATATAGTTGTATGTTTACAATCTGTATGTTTACAATCTGACATGTCAACCATATTGCCTTCTTCTTAGAGTCACAAAGTTTTAAATAATCCTCTAAACTTCATTATTATTATCAGAAAGACCAACAATTAAGTGCTGCCAAATTTGCATTTACAAAGAATGTAGCTCAGTTTGTACCGCGTGTAATAATGTAGTATCAACCTGAACGGAAGAGGGCAGCATCCCTCCATGATACATCTGGTTCCTGCTTACAGACAGAGACTAAAGCTCTCGAAACCTGCAGTGAGGAGCTCCAAAGTGTGGTCTGATGAAGCTGTGGAAGAGCTGCGCGCATGCATGGAATCTACAGACTGGGACCTTTTCAGAGCTGCCACAGACAGCTTGGATGAATATACGGACACTGTGACGTCATACATCCACTTCTGTGAGGATAGCATCATTCCAACAAGGACCAGGGTCATCTATAACAACGACAAACCCTGGTTCACTGCTAAACTCCGGCAGCTCAGGAAAGCAAAGGAGTCTGCTTTCAGGGAGGGGGACCGCAGCGGCTACAAAGCAGCTAAATATCAGTTCAGGAAAGAACTGAAAGCAGCCAAGTCCCGGCACAGAGAACGACTACAGGAGCAGTTTGGTAACAACGATACTGCTTCTGTCTGGAGGGGCCTACGGGAGATCACCAACTACAAACCCAAAGCCCCCCCCTGTGCTGATGACCACAAGCTAGCTGACGATCTGAACTTATTTTTCAGTCGCTTTGATGCTGCCCCTGACACCTTTCCCTCCCCCACCCCCCACTACTCTAACGACCCACCCATCAGCCCTGCCCCCAGCCTAACAATAGCCGCTAAAGAGATTAAACAACTCTTCCTGAGGCTGCACCCCCGCAAAGCTCCTGGCCCGGACCACGTGTCTCCGGCCACTCTGAGACACTGTGCCAGTGAGCTTACTCCTGTGTTCACGGACATTTTCAACACCTCTCTGCAGTCCTGCCATGTCCCGGCCTGCTTCAAATCCTCCATCATTGTCCCCGTCCCGAAGAAGCCCAGGATCACAGGACTCAATGACTACAGACCTGTAGCACTTACGTCTGTCGTCATGAAGTCATTTGAACGCCTGGTTCTCTCCCATCTCAAGTCCCTCACCTCCCCCCTCCTGGACCCCCTGCAGTTCGCCTACAGAGCCAACAGATCTGTAGACGACGCCATTAACCTGGCCCTCTACCACATCCTACAGCACCTGGACTCCCCGGGGACCTACGCCAGGGTCCTGTTCGTGGACTTCAGCTCTGCCTTCAACACAATCCTGCCATCCCTGCTCCAGGACAAGCTCTCCCAGCTCAACGTGCCCGATTCCACCTGCAGGTGGATCACTGACTTCCTGACGGACAGGAAGCAGCGAGTGCGTCTGGGGAAGAATGTCTCGGACTCTCGGATTATAAATACAGGAGCCCCACAGGGCTGTGTTCTTTCTCCCCTGCTCTTCTCCCTGTACACCAACCACTGCACCTCCAGCCACGACTCCGTGAAGCTGATCAAGTTCGCGGACGACACCACCCTCATTGGACTCATCTCCAACAACGATGAGTCCGCCTACAGGAGGGAGGTGGACCGGCTGGTGTCCTGGTGCAGTGGTAACAACCTGGAGCTGAACGCCCAGAAGACAGTGGAGATGATTGTGGACTTCAGGAAGAGCACTGTCCCCCCACCCCCACCCTCCGTGATGGACTCCCCCATCACCTCTGTGGAGTCCTTCCGTTTCCTGGGCACCACCATCACCCAGGACCTCAAGTGGGAGCCGACCATCAGCTCCCTCATCAAGAAGGCCCAGCAGAGGATGTACTTCCTGCGGCAGCTCAGGAAAGCCAAGCTGCCTGCACAGATGTTGGTGCAGTTCTACACGGCCATCATCGAGTCCATCCTCACCTCCTCCATCACCGTGTGGTTCGCTGGAGCCACAGTCAGGGACAAACAGAGACTACAGCGCATTGTGCGCTCTGCAGAGGAAGTGATCGGCCGCAGCCTTCCATCGCTGCAGGACCTGTACGTCGCCCGAGCTCGAGGGCCGGGCTGGTCGTATCACAGCCGACCCCTCTCACCCTGCACATGGACTATTCCAACCACTCCCCTCAGGCAGGAGGCTGCGGTCCATCAGGACTAGAACCTCCCGCCACAAGAACAGTTTCTTCCCCTCTGCTGTTGGACTCTTGAACACTTCTTAACCTGTCCCCCCGCCCTTTATAAAGTCACTTTACTGCCCATCATACGTCACTTTACTTCACTGTACTGCTGTCACCTTACATTGTGTGCACCATGTGCACTTGTATATTGTAAATAGTAACTGTAACTCTATTTTAAATTTAAATTTATTCTTTAGAAGTGTTTTTTATTCTTATTTTTATTATCTCTTTTTGACTGTTGCACTGAGCCAAAGCAATTTCCAAGTCTGTGACCTCCCGTTACTTACGTTGGCAATAAAAATGATTCTGATTCTGATTCTGATTCTGATGTAGTGTACAGCCTGCCGGAAATTAATAAAGAAGAAGAATGTAGTTTGTCTCGCAGGCCCCGCCCATGGATCTATTGGCCCCGCCTTCTCGTGTCGTTTCCGGGGACGCCATTTCGCGTCAGTCTCAGGCCCAGGACCGCACTTCTGTCTTCTTTCTCCGTGAAGTTTTTCTTTTTTTCTTTAATTCCTGACTGGTAATTGATTCAACATAATATTCCTACACTTTACTGACTGCACCGCATTTCGCACATGCTCAGATTATCTCCGTGAACCCTGTTTGTGTGTACGCTGAGTTAGCATGATGCTAAAGCTAAGGTCGGAATCAGTCTGTTATGGCTCGGCCTCGTACAGTTATGGCCTTAACCCGATTATGAAACACAAACTTTAATCCACCGAATTAATAATATCAAGCACAGGTTTCCTAAATGTCCAAGGAGTTGTTATGTGACTTATAAATACTGTGAGTGTCGTCTGTCAGCTTTTTTAGTAGCACAGTTCGCTAGCTAGCTGTTAGCTGCTAAACAATCTGTATTAAAAAATGAATTATAATAGGACAGATGGATCGTTTCCAAATTCACATGTATGTTATATATTAGGCTATATGTGTTTTATGTTCTGTGAATCCTTTCACTTTGCATTTATTCGTAAAAAGCACAGACATTTGTTTAAATATATTGCACTGGAAAACGTAGCTTGTTAGTTTTTACCACGCACCATGTGGATTGGTATGACAACTACTCAAATGACACGTTATTGCCTCATTTTCAGAGAGCAGATCTTGTATGAGAACAGAGTAGATCAAATGGGCAGAGCTCAGTGGGTGTCATTTGATGCTTTACTAACAAACTGTTAAGGACAATGTGAAATGTATATCGTTGTAAAATGGAATGTGTTCATTTATTGCTGTTCATGTATCCAACTCAAAATAACCTGTTTTCAGTTCCCTACAGGTGTTTCTTTAGGTTTCAGGTACCCTCTTGGCCCCTTTTTGGAATATTGAGCGGATATGGATCATTTTTGCTTCACTATTTTCTCTTTTTGAGCATCCTGCCTCATCCATGGCATGTTAAACCTGAAGACCAGATGAAAGCTGAAGAATTTTACATTTTATTTGCATAATTTTTGACCCAGAGTTTATTTTTAAAAATCTTTTTTTTCTTTTTTTGCCTAGTTTTTGAGATTTTTTCATAATTTTCAAACCCAGTAACGCCCTTTCATTTTAAACAAAGCCCCAAAGGACTTTCAAAATTCTACATCATCTATAGTATACAAGTGTCTGGACAGCCCTCCCCTTGTCCTCTTTTCTTACGGATCAAGTGTTCCTTCAGGATTCAGTTGCCAGAAGATTCACAACCAGCCACCCTGGAAGGCCACCTGTTGCCCATTGCCTCAGGTAAAGTTAAACCAATGGGTGCATTTAAATACATAAAAACACATTTTCACCAAATACTACCGTAGTTGTGTTTGTATAATAACCCCGATGGGTTTTACTGTTAAACTTTCTACAATTATTTATAAGAAATGAACCTCTGCTATTCATGAGTTGAAGGGGATCCAAACAGATTTGCAGAAAAAAGAGAAAGAATTAATAATTTACCCATGAGGTTGATGGGTTCATTGTTTACAGGAAGCATTCTGTCAGCTTTGAAAAGAAGCCTTGGGTTTGAAGAGTGAAATCCAGTCACCTGTTACTTCAGACGCACCAGGATTATAATGACGAACCATGGAGATGACTGCTACTTTTTTTACTATTCCAACTGTACCAAAGTAAGAGACTGTCTTTGGAAGACTTTACTTTCATTAGATTCAAATTCACTAAAAACACCATTAACACTTTGACTTTGTAAACAGGGAGACAGTTGTCCTTTTAGACATTGTGAAGCTGCGATTGGTAATGAGGTGGTCTGCAACCTGTGGGAGGAAGGCAGATGTTTTAGACCCACCTGCAAGTTTCGCCACATGAAGATCACGGTAAGATCCTCAAAGGCAAAGTAAAGGAGACAAACTGTTCTTTACAAACTAAATGCTTTGTGTAGAAATGTATAGGGACTTTTTCACATGCCCATTAGACTGTGCGGTGTATTTTAATTGTACATAGATTTTCATTATTCTGATGTCATCCAAAGTTTCAACTTTTGACAGAATTTACCATTTAAAGTATTTTCAAAACCCTAAATGCTCTGTTTTAGTAAATCAAACTCGAGCATTTCTCCCAAAATGCTTTACAGTGTAATTATGCTTGAAATTGTGTACATATTAAATCTGCTAATGTGTGGCCTTCTCTTTCACAGCATAACCGTAAACAGATAGCATGTTACTGGGAGAACCAGCCAGCGGGTTGCCAGAAGCCTCACTGTGCCTTCTTCCATGAGAAACCCCGCTGTATCGATGGGCTTTATGTTCCACCAGACAAAGGTGAGTGTATTTTGACACAGGTTGAGTATTTTCACGTGCTGTCAATATATAACTCACAACACATTGCAGGATTGCGGTATTTAAGAACTAAACAAGTTAGTCATACAGCGATATTTAATTCTATGGTTGCATCTGGTGGGCGGCTTGGGTCAATAGAAGAAACGCAGGCGGTGAGAAGTTGAGAGACTGGAGTACTGAGTTTTCTTTCCCTGAACTCCTCTATCTCCCGGAGCCATGAAGCCTGTCATCGTTGGGTCTTTGCTTTGCTTCAGCTGTTTTCACTCATCCTCGCTGCCACTTGGACAATGGGAGTATCCTGTGGCCTGAGGGCTTTCCCCGGAGCGTGAACCGTGGACTGCCTCTTCAGGGGTTGGAAGGCTCAGGGCGCCAAACCTTGGGCTTTTAAGTCTGCTTGTTCCTGTGATTGTCACACGGTGGAAACGTGCACTTTTCCTTAACAAAGACCTGTGTGTCATGACTGCACATGCACTGGGTGTATGTGGGACTGGAGCATGTGAATCTGCCCCACGGCTGTTCTTAGACCAATGTATTAACAAAGTGAACTACAAGCTGCTGACAGCGGACTCATTTAGGAAAGCTGTTGTTTTGCACCGTAACCTACACGCCATCAAACTATAATAATGAATGACTTCTTGTTTGAATTTGAAATTCTGATGCATTTTTTTATATATAATATATATATATATATATATATATATATATATATATATTTTTTTTTTTTTTCATATTATGAATACAATAACTGTCCTACGTTCTGCTGTTGAGATTGTTTGACTGAGAGCGTGAAATTCAACAACCAATGTTTCAGGTACAAAGTGTGAAGAAGTGCCCCAGGAGGAGCCGGTGCCCCCACAGCCCCCTTTGCCCACAGCTGCCAACCCTCAGGTCCGAGGTGTTAAAAAGACGGAATCACAGGAACCAGTCCCTAGCCCCACACACCCCCCGGTGGTGATCAACCCGGCAGATGATGACGAAGATGAAGATGGTAAAAGCCCTTGCTTACTTTAATTACACTTAAATACATTCACACAGGACTTTACTTTACATTTATACATAACATTATTCCTCAGACCAGTTCTCAGAAGAGGGAGAATCTCCCAGAAAGCAAGCCACGGGTCCTAAATCAGGTACGGCTTCTCAAAAAGCACTTTTCTCCTGTTTTTGTGACAATCGTTGAATCTGAAACTCATGTTTTTCAGCAGAAGAATCTATGAACTTTGGAGTGAGCACATTAGAAGAAATCCGCCTCAGAAGAGCTATCAAGGCCAGCATGAAGAGGGCGATATACGCCGGCGGGGAGGCTCCTAATAATGGTGGCAAAGAAAACATTCAATCTTCTTTGAAACATATGAGCGATGGTACGACTTCGAGACTAATTCAAATGTGCAAAACGTGAAGTACAATTTATTTATTCATTATAATTTCTCAGCTGCAGACTTCGGATGTGGAGACGGAGTCCCTCTGCGGAGAAGTCTTGCTGAGCGCCTCGGCAGAATTATGGATGTGGAGCACTCTACTGTAGCGTCTCAGAAATGTGAGACATCTTCAGGAAATTATAAATGTTATTCATTTAATAATGCATGTTTGTTTGTTGCCTTTTGTAGCTTCAAAGTCTGTTAAGCAAAGACTTACGTTGCCCTCGGATCTTACTGCAACAGCTCCATCAGGTAACAACTGCAAGGTTTACAACTGTCATTCATTCATTCATCTTTCATATTGTGTCTTCACAGTGGAAATCATTATCAAGACACCTGAGCACATCAGAATTAAAACACTGGAAGAGATTAAACTTGAAAAAGCAGCAAAGTCCCAGAACCCTAAAGAGCCTTCAGGAGCAGACATTTCTTTCACCAAAACTATTCCTACAAAAGGCTCTAAAAGCGTCAAAAGAGCCATCACCGTGGAAGACGAGTCCATCGAAAGTGTTCGAACATTCTCAGAGATGCTTCACATGAAGAAGAAAAAACAAGAAGAGAATCAGAAACACAAGAATCAGAGTGAGAAACGCAAAGACCAAAGCCAGGACAAAGAAGTGGCTCCGGCAAAGAATAGTTCAGGTGAGATCAGAGTGAAGACGCTGGAGGAGATCCGGCGCGAGAAAGCAGCTCGTTTCCAGAGCCAAGAACTGACCCAAGAAGGGCCCCCAGAGGAGGCTCAGGCAACGAACTCTCAAGAGTCTTCTGCCAAAAAGCCCCGCCTGCTGCGCCTAAAGAAACCTGCTTTACAGAGTAAGACCTTCATTTTAGTGACTGCATTGTTTTATATCTCTGGTAAACACGGTGAGCTTTATGTTCTTGTTTTCTCCTTAGCAGACAAAGACATTTCTGAGAAGAGTGAAAGTATAACAGAGACTCCAGAGAAGCCTGTTAAATCCACACCTACTCCCACAGAGGTAAGACCAGTGCTCTGCAGATTACTGCAGACTGTCGTATGGCAAAGTAAACTAACTAGTTCTGTTCAATGTTTCTGCAGACGTCTATTAACACTGTTAAAGTGAAGACCTTCGAGGAGATCATGCGCGAGAAACGCCTTCGTAAACAAGACACTGAAAAGCCAGCCGCCTCCAGCAGCCAGAGCTCTGCTGATGTGGACCAGCCTCCTGCACTGCCCACAACTTCTCCTGTAAAAAGGAAAGCTTCTGCTAAAATAACATTTACACCAGACTCTACAACCACCACTGAGTCAGGGCCACCCCCAGCCAAGACCAGTCCTGCCTCCGTCACTTCAGCTCCAGGAAAGAGCCTGCGAGCGGTCAAGGATACATCTCAGACAGTTACTCCAGAAAGACGGCCTCAAGACACGAGGACAGACGCCAAAGGTACTGCAGTAGTATTTGTTTTAGCAGTACCAGGGCTGCTTTTAAACTACAGGATGGATTTAATGGATACATGTCTTGCTCTTCAGTGAGACCCAAGCTGAATGTGAAGCCAAGTGTACATCTGAAGCCTGGACAGAAGAGGAAGGCTCCACAGCGCTCTGCTGTAGCTGCGGTCAAACCTCTCAACTCCGACCCCAAGTCTGAGACCACCCGTCTGGAGCCGCAGGTAGATCACTGTGCTTTCTGTAAAACCAAACCGCGACTATATTTGGAGCATGAAAGTCACTGTTCATTCTTATCGTTCCAGGTATTCTCATCTGTAACCCCAAAAAGTGTGCCGAGTCCAGAGTTTGTCTGTAATCCCATCTCCACCTCTGAATCTCAGGCGCCACAACCGCGATCGCCGGACACCTCTGCAGCCACACAATGGTAAGATCTCAGTCCCAGTCACGTTTTGTATCGGGACCATTTTTTTACTGAGAGAAACAAAAAAAGTCTCCTACTTAAATATTTATTTCTATGGGAGCCATATATGTGATTTATGTAATGTTTTTTTTCACAAGATTAACACATTTGGAGTGTAATATTATAACTATTATTTTTGTTTCGTATTTTCTTTATACTGAAACAACCCAATACATAAAACATTCTTGCTATGAATACCGACTAAGATATGTCTGAGAACTAAGTAAGTAAGCTTTATTTATGCAGCGCCTTTCACAGACCAAGGCCACAAACCGCTTCAGTTTAAACAGGTAAAAACAGACTCAATACAATTTAAAATGTGCATACAAAAAAAACTAGACTTAACCCTTTAGGCGCCAGAGTTTTTTCAAGAAAATATACAATTTTGATTTCAAGATTTCAAAAGGCTATAACTTTAAAATGGTTTGAGATAAAGGCATACTGTAAATTAGAAATATCTTCAGTTTGAACCAAACTTTGGGATGGAAGTTGATTCGTCATCTAATTTGCATATTGTGACGTCATCAAGGTGGCGGCCATTTTGGAAAATGTTAATTATTGTATAAAGACTTCAAAAAGCTGTAGCTTGGGAGTTATTTGAGATCAGGGAATACTATAAACAGTCAATGTGAAATATCTTTAGTATGAAATGAATTTGGGATAGAAATAAATTCCCTGATCCAGATTATAGATAATGTTTTAGCACTGGTTCGCAGCCATATGGAATTGTATTATTTTCAAAGACCTTCAGAGATCAAGATAGCACTCTTTATAGTTTACAGTCATGAAATCTTGAGATTGGTTTCAATATTTCCCTTTCAGAGAAGTAGTGGGCTTACTATTTTTCTCAGTGGAAATGAGGCTCCAGGATTTACCATTTAGAAACAGAGAGATGAAATGAATGGGCTCAGAACTTGTCAGATCGTCTCAACAACATACAACAGGCTCTTCAACACTTCTGATCCACTTTTGTGGATTATTTTCTCTCAAGAACTGTCTTCATCCTCATCATTGCTGTTGGTAAAGGCAGTGAACGCGATTAGCGATGTGTTTTTTTCCCGCGGCTCTCCCGCGACTTCTCCCGCGTCTCCCGTGTTCCCCGTGGATGTCTATCCCCGCTACTTTCTCCCACATGCCTGGTGTTATGATCCCCCTGTCCCCTCGACCCCAGCCCCTGCTTGGCGTTCACAGAATGCTTCGACCGCGGCCACACGGAGGATAGCAGCCGCTGCACAGGGGCTGATTGTGGACTATGGAGCGCGGTCTCCCCGTCACCAATAATGTCCGTGTCTGCTTCACTGGACACCTGCGTGTCTTCCTCCTCTGAATCTGAGTGAGCCAGTACCAGACCAAGTACTTCCCTGGGACTGAAGACCTTGTGTGTAAATAAAAAACCACTCTCTCCCTCTGCTCTGCTCTCGCTCCTCTCAGCTCTACCGCTGCTGCTTCGCCTCCGCGCCGCTGCGCCGCAGGTGTTTTAAAAAACTCAATTTACTCAAAAACTTTCAATATAACCACACCCACAAATGTTGCTCATATTACAGGCACACATGTCCACTAACCCCTGGTGAAAAGTATTAACAAGATTCTGCACCACATTTTTAGATACAGCCTGTTTAAGTGAGCAATGTTGCTTGTCGCAATATTGCGACTTTGGCGCTTAAAGGGTTAATCCTCCAAAGAGCCCATAGGTTCCTGACCCGTGGTGTAAACCCTTCATCATCTCTACACATTCAGTAAATCATATCATTAACAAAAACATTGTCATCCTAGCCGCACACCGAAAACATCGTCTCAAGCCAAGCCCCGGAGAACCAGCGTAACCGTGAGCCGCAGCGGCACAAACAGCGCGGCCCCAACGTCGGCGGAGGATGACTTTGATGAACTGATCAGTGAGTTCACCACGGACGACCCTCTGGAGGACGGCGTGGACCCCGACCTGGGAGAGGACGACCTGCTGCAGGAGCTCTCAGACATGATTGACAGCTGAACACTCTCGACTTTGACAACGGAGCTCGAGAACCGTCACCCGCTCTGCCAGATGCACTCAGAAGTATTTGTACAATTCCACACTCTGTTTCTTTATCGACACGCTGTTGAAGCAGAGGGACTAGCGCGCGCCGAAGTGTCTGGACACGCTCAGGTGAAAGCTTCGTCGGTGTGTACTGTGTATGCAAAATGAAATGTGAGAAATGAATGAACTATAGCACTTCAGTTACCGCTCGACGTTTCTGATTTGCCCTGTTTATTTTTCTGTCCGGATGCATTTTTACCTCCCTAAACTTATTCTAAACTACTGGGAACGCTCCCTAAAGTTTCCTTAATACAATAATTTTAAGATTATTTTATTTCTGTACTTGTATTTTAGGATCTATGTGATGTCTTATTTTATGTTTTTTATATTCTTAACTTGGTCATTTTGTTCCCTGTGTCGGTGTAATGTAAAATAATGTAAATAAAAGATTTTAATGACTCAATAATTTGGCAGGTCTTGCAGGTTTATATGAATATTTTATCAGATGTGTAAACGGCTTCCCAGTCCTGAATCTCACCAAAGTGAAAGTAAAGGACCATGGACCTGTTCTGTGTCACTACAGTACAGAGGTCTCCAACCTTTTTCAACCAGAGAGCTACTACTTTTTTACAGTCATCATAAAAATCAATTTAATAATGACAAAACATGTAAAATATACCATAATACTGTATAAGTTATACAGTATACCTTATATAACCCTATATTTATATTTAAAGTGGATGTTTAATGACTAAAAAGAATCATTCAGGAGTATGTGTTGAAATGCTTTGGGGAGCTACTTGAAAGGGGCCGGAGAGCTACAGCTTGCTCCCAAGTTGCAGATTGGAGACCCCTGCTATAGTAGTATCAGTACTGTACCAGGCGCCCTCTGCTGGAGAGAAGGGAGCATTACTGTGGAAAGGTTTCTGGAGTTTTTTTTTTTTTTTTTTTTTTTTACATTCATGTGAAACTTATTTGAAACCACTTAAGTTTATGTCACAAAAATAAGTGTAAAATATATAAAAAACTGACCTACACCAGGATGAGTGGTCACAGGCCTTTTGCAATTCAGTTCATTTTTGTACAGCCCTAAAGAAGAGTAGTCTGAGGTCAAAGTTGCCGATTCACCAACACACATCAGATAAACAGTTCGAACACAGGACATTTATTTTTAAACACATAGGATCCATTGTGTCAAAGTAAGTTATTCATATTTATTTATGTAGCACAAGAGTCACAGAGCGCTTTACAATCAGTTACTTTTTTATTTTTATTTTATTTATTCTGTTTGGGACAGTGCATGTTCATGAACACATCACTCCGGATTGTAGCAATGGGTTAATTTCCATCCGTTGTCCCACATCTGCACTCACAAACACACACTCATTCACCCTGAACCATTACACATGTTTTTAGTGGTAGGGGAAACCGGAGTACCAGGAGGAAACCCACACAGACACAGGGAGAACATGCAAACTCCACTCATAAAGGCCCTCTGCTTATTTGTCTCACAGTTAAGAGCGAGGTGTCCTACAGGAGGCACAGGCCAGATCTACTGTACATGTTTTTAGTGGGGGGGCAAACCGGAGCACCTGGAGGAAAACAGAGAAAATACAAACTCCATACAGAAAGGCCAGAGGTGGAAGCGGGCCCAGGACCTTCTTACGGTGAGGCACAAGCGCTAACCACTGCACCATTTTTTCAAGCCGCACTTTTTGTAGTTGCAGTAGTTGAAGAATTATAATTTCAAACACACACAAAATAAAACCAGAGGAAACATACACAGAAATAATGTACGTATGTCTTGGAGAAGCTCCTTATTTATATATTCCTTGTTATATATATATTATTTAAACTAAAATCCATTTCGTGGTCCCAGCTCCTCTTGCTCTTTCTTCATCACTCGTCATAAAGAGATGTGTTTGTCTTCACTTCGATCTTTTCAGGACTTCCAGAGTCTTCTTTCAGCTGTCAGACCTGACTCCTGGTTCTGCCACAATAATCCTTCCTCACAGTATTGAGCTGAGTATTTTTGCAAGCCGCTCAGTTTATCTCAAACATAAACAAAATAAAACAAGAGGCAACATGCACAGAAACACTCTGTTGGAAAAGAGGTTTGATGAATCACAAAGGAAGGGATTATTTAGCTTTCACTTCATTATTGCTTATTTTCGGTGTTGGCTGAATACTCCAGAATACTAAAATGTACCTAAAATACCTAAAATGTATTTTCTATAGCAGCCATTCCCTAAGTCAGTAACACCGCAGCCCCTGAAATAATAACCAAGAAGACAACGTTAAAAAAAGGCTGCTCTTGTTATTTTATTTGGGGTAAACAGCCTCTGCCACAAACATGTAAATGACGCACCCCATTTTGTAATACACAAATGATCACAATGTGATTATTCAAGACAAATAATGAACACAAATATTTAAATTTTACAAACAAAATATTATCAATTCAACATACAATTATATAAAACATTGTTGTTGTTTTTTTGATGACCTCTCGCGGCCCCCTGCAGTACCATCGCAGCCCACCAGGAGGCCGCGAACCCCACTGTGGGAGACACTATTCTGTTACTTTGGTAAAAGTAGGACCTGTATTCCGAATATTAGTATTATTTTTGTTAAACTTTATTATTACAGACACGAGGTCCAGATATAAAGACACAAAAACAATAATAATCATAAAAATAAACATCTTTACAGCAGAATACTGTACCACGTGACGCCAGAGTCAGACTGATGCGTGTGGCACTGATTCTGACGTCGGGCTCATTTTGATCACGTTCTGACATGGATTCAGTCGACAAATCAATCTGTATCAGGTTTCTTAGAACAGCACGAAAAGTCTGAATCCAAATATGTGTTTCTACTTTTAAATACTTTTAATTATTATGTTTTTATTATTCATATCTATTGTAAATTCATGTTGTTTTACAAAAAGTAAAAAGGGTACATTTCAAAAATATTTAAAACTTCCATAAATGTTTAAATAAAAGAAAAACTGTGATTAATTAATAATCTGTTGTTTATTTTTTATACAAAACAAAGTCAAAGTCTTCAGCTGCTTTTAACAACCAGAAAACATTTAAGTTCACATTTAAGAATACGCAATGTTTTCTTTCTTTTTTTACAAACCTTAAAACAAAACGTGAGAAAGTTTTTATTCCTGTGTGACTTATTATCATTTCTACATCTCGAAAGTTTTAACACAGAACTCTAAATTCTTTTGGGATTTTCAGAAAGTAACTAAGTGCTTTAAAGACCTTATGCCGGGTTTGATTTATTTAGAAATACAGTTTTAATACCATTTTATATTAGAAGAGAACTACTAAAGGTTTAAAAATCAGTTGTTGTTTTTTTTGTCTGATCCCCCCAAATGGAAATAACTCCATAGCAACGCCCTTAGAGACGAAAAAACTTCACAGCCCTTGGTGACGTCAGAGTGGGTACGTTTCAACGCTGTAAGTTGTTTACAATTTGGTATTCGTTCTTTTTTTGCGGATATTCAAGATGCCAAGGCCGTGTACAGCGAGTGTGAGATAATAGATTGTACTCTTCCAATGGCACTGAGATAGTCCAGTGGTTGTGTCGATGCACTGTCAATCCAGATACTGGGGTTCAAATCCCCCTTAGAGACATTTTCACTCTCAAAACGTCAATTTATGTGTAGTGAGCAGTTGTCACCTGTAGAGGGCAGTATTGTGTTGGGCATCAGTGGAGAGAAGAGAGAAAAGGCAGTCCTGTGGCATAGATCCATGGTTTTCAATGCATGGGCGTTACCCGCTGTGACGTCACACACAGGTTAGAGCATAGACAACTTAAATTCATGAAAAACACGTTCTTTTTATAAAATATAGGATTTTTTTTGCCGGAATCTCTTTCAGATCGACATTGTCATGCAATTTTGATATCCACAATTAAAAAAAAAAAAACCCGGCATAAGGTCTTTAAAGTAGTAACTGTAGCGCAGGAGTAAAGCCGGGGCGTCGAACTCATTTTGGTCGGAGCCAGAAGTAAAACAGTTGTTTTTTTGTTTTTATTCCCACATACAGTATTTTCGTCTTTTGACAAATGAGTTGTATTTGACATGAGTTTGGATATTTTCTGAGCCAAATATCAAGAATGAGATGTTTTGGAAGATTGATAGTTAAATCTATAAAATAAATTAAATTGAAGTAGTACTATAATTTAATATGCTGCTATCCAGAATATATAACTACAATATGTGTTTATAATATCCATCCATCCATCCATCCATTTTCTACCCTTTAATCCATTTCTGGGTCAGGGGGGTGGCAGTCAGAGATGCACCAGCCCCTCACTGACCCTCTGCAGGTGGTGAGTCCACAGGAGGACGGCTGCTCTCTGAGTGTGAGCATAGCCTTGATCTTTCAGTGGGGGCTTTGGGCAAAGTGGGGTTAAGTGTCTTGCCCAAGGACACAACGACAGCAGTCATCAGTGGGAGTCGGTGGAGAAGGTGCAGAGGTGGGAATTGAACCCACAACCTTCTGGCCTTAAGGCCAATGCTCTACCAACTGAGCTACTGTCGCCCTGTTGTTTATAATATTTCGGGTGTTAATTTTGACATGTTCAGATGAATTATGTTAAAAAAACTGCTTTGAAGTGGCACCTTTTCACTTCCGCATAGAAACGCTAGGGGGCGCCAAAATGGCAGCGATGACGTAGCAGAATGACCTCTCACAGCAGCAGCAGCAGCAGTCTGGGCTGAATCTGTAGGAGGTTTCACTGTCATCTGAACAAGGTATAAACATATTTTCATCAGTTTTGTACATAATAGTGTGCAACTCTTTTAACCTTTTTGCCTTATTTGTGAGATTCAAGCTAATTAGTGTTGGGCAAGTTAGCTAACTCTACTTGATATCATAAAACATGCTAACAAGGCTAATATTCGTTTTTACATTATGCCAGTCTCACTTTGCCTTAGATTTATTTACCACAATGTACAT